GCCTCATACCACCAACTGACTACCTTGGGTTTTTCCCCACTGAAGACTCCTCTGATGAGTCACTTTTTTTCTGGTTCACTCACTGAAAGATGTCTGTCGTCACTTGTTTCCACAAAAAGCAGAGGGCGAATTCATTCCCAGCACAGACCCAAGTCACCACCCACTGTACATTCCAGCCCTTAATCCAGCCACGGCTTCTGCTTCTGCCTCTGCCCTGGAACACCCCTCTCTCAGACCCTTTCCCTCGCTTTCATTTCCACCCAACACTAACATTTGCTGTTATTTCCAGGGCCATTTATCACAAAGCTGGTGGGTCTGCATTCTGTTTTTCTCCCATTGTGAGAACAGTCAAATTCACAGGGATAGTGAGGGAACAATGGAGCCCCCGTTGACCCGCACACACCCTGCCTCCTAACAGCGTCTCCGGAAACGCTCAGTGGCGGCACACCCCAACGCCCCGCCCCTCTGCAGAGGCAGACGGGCAGTTTGTGCTGGTACCGCCACAAAATGACGCATCCTAACCTGGGAGAGCCTTGCCCGGTTGGAGCCACTGTTGTTCAGTCCACAGATGCAGGGTCTCCTGGACAGGCAGTGGCTCCCACCACAGGACGGCCCTGCCGGTTAGGTGTAAACCCACCAGGCATCACTCATGTTAGAGGAGTCAGAGTGCAACTAAATTCAATATAATTCGCTTACTATCAAGACTGTATGAGCGATCGTGGAATTCACTCGGTTACGTTGGAAGGCGTTTCAGAATGGGGCATTGTCTCGGTTTGGACGTGCTCACTGTAACTTCCCTCAGGAGGGCCTGTGGAGGGGATGCAGAGGAGAGGCTGGGGGAGCTCCGGCCCTGGGGCGGGTGCTGCTGTGTGCCATGCATCAGCAGAGTGCCGTGTGGTCTAGTGTGCGCTGGCAAAGGCAGAAAGTGAACTTGCCATTTTCTCCTCATTTCCAAGGTAATTGCTAAAGCCCTTCGCAACATTTTTAATATGTTAAGAACCTTTGAACAGCTGGCAGGTATCAAGTAAAACGATGGAAGTGGTGGGAAAGTGCATTCTTTTGATGAGCGAGTTGCCTCTCCGCACGCCTGGCACTGGCGCCCAGCCCTTTTGTGCCGTGACCTTTTGCAACTTAGTGCCTCAGTGTTGTCATTTTTAAAAGAATTCTGCTACCTTCCTCCATGGGTCGCCTTGGGAACTAAATGAGTTAACATAGAGAAAGCCCTTAGAACAGTGCACAATACCTGTTATTGCTGTTAAAGTTTATTATTGTCATTAATACCACTGCAGCAGCAGCTCTGTGTAGCTCCCCACAGGGCTGGCTGCCCATCTCTGTGTCCCCCAAGTAGTCTTGCCCGATTGCTCATCTAGGGTCGCTGCGCTGCCAGGTCACCCTGCCACATAACCAGCTGTTCCTCAGCTTGTACTTTGGGCTTTTTCTTCCCCGAATCTGCCGCTGGGCAGCTGTCTATAGGTTTCATTCAGCCTCTAAATACAGACCAGCTCATTTCTGCCCTGTCGTCGGGTTCACTGGGTGTGGCAGCGGAAAAATCAGCCTTCATCTTACTCCAACTGGATGGTCTTCCAACATTTTATCATCTCTGAAAGCAGAATGCAAAAGACAGCTCTAGGGCACACTGCTTCCAGGGCCCGGCGCCGCGGTGAATAGGGGCTCCTTCCCAGAGCAGGCAGTGAGGCGAGGTGATCGATCCCTCTGCCTGTCCTCATACCAGCACTGACCAGCTAACAGATCCATTAGCAGCGGAGGGTTCTGGGGGCATCTAAGAGGCTGACCTAGCCTTGGCTCTGGGTGTAATGGAATGCTTTGGGAAATCTGATAAAATGTGAGAAGGATGCTTCCTGGCATAGAACTGTAAAGACTGTTGGGTATTATCCAAAAGACAGGGCCAGTTGTCCCTGCTGCTTTAGCTATCTCTATAGGGACAACTGGCCAGGGACTTGACGCCCTGTGTTGCTGGAGTGTCAGCTCTACCTGATCTGGGGACGGGGAGATTAGTGCTAAGTCGAAGGTTTGCTTGTTGCCTTTGAGAAGGACGTTAAGGGTCCGCCACTGCAGTGGCCTTTCTGCCTTACTCTCAATACAGTTTTTATGTAAGGGAATTACTGGCCCACTGTCTTTCTGAGAAAACCAGAGCCACACTGCCACGTTCACAAGGGGCCTCTGATATTTGTGCCAACTTCATTAGCATTTGCCTATCTCAGAAAAACTAAGAAGACCTTACCTAGAATGTTTTATATTTTTTTCCTGAAAAGCTGGCTTTAGATCTAAAGAACCAGAGTGGGCACCCACATGTGACTGTTTATTGATCGGTCATTATCTGGGCAGCGGCAGCTCAGCGTTCTTCAGCCCCATCTGTAGCCCTCTGGTCACGATCACAGGTGTTCGTGTCCACCACAGGTTGTGTGCAGAACCCAGGGGTTCTTCCCACGAAGTACAGTACCAGCGCAGAGAGGCTTTGTCACAGCACTGACACAAAAAGACAAACAGAAATCTGACTTGCCAAGTTATCCATCCAATAAAAAACCACCCAGGGGGAGAAGAAAAGATATTTATCATGTCCCAGCAACTCAGCCAAGCCTGCAAGTTCAAGTGCAGTATTTCTAGGTGAATTTAGAAAACCTTTCCCTGGCAGAGAGTTTTCCTGACAGCTCTTTTCACCAGCAGCCAGCCTGTCTGGGATAGAACAAAGGGTTTCTTCCCCTCTGATTCGGGCTGGATGACAATTTTCTACTTCCCCAGCGGTTTGGGCAGCATTATGAAGGTTTGAATACTTCTCTATAAGTTAAGCAGAACTTCGTTTTCAGGCTGTCTGCCTTTGCCTCTATTAGTAGTCAAGTGTTGGCTGTTGAGGTGGCCTCTGCCCTGGTTTAGCATGAGCAGAATAACAGCATTGGTTTGAAAAGAGATTCAAGAGATGATTATGGGGTTATTCCATTGACTTGTCACCAGAGAATGGATCTGTTACAAAGGGCATGTAGATTTTTTTTTTTATTATGGAATTTCTACTGAGCAGCTGTGTGTCTGTGTGCATGTTACGGCATTTACAGCAGCCAGATTTTCAGAGCATTTTTGTTATTATGTCTTCTTCCTAGTATCTTATTTTTTCCAGAAGGTTCTTTCGTTTAAGTGGAAGTTCTCTAAAAGGGGCGAAGATGAAAAGCTTACCTGTAGTATAAAGTTAAAAAGGAATATGAGGTCTGTCCAGAAAGTATCCAGCCTTGTAGTATGAAAAATAGAGACATAAGACGTGAGAAACACTGTACATAGGACAGTGACGCCTCAGGTCCCTTCAAAGTAGGCACCTCGGGACCTCACACAGTTCTCCCACTCACCATCAACTGCCCCATCATATTTTCCTGAATCTCACCAACAGTCTGAAATCTCTTACCTTCCAGATATGATTTCAGTTTGGGGAAAAGCCAGAAGTCACAGGGCACCAAATCTGGGCTGTAGGGGTGCTGAGTCACCCAGGTGATTTGATGTTTTGCAAAAAAACTTCCATGGGTTTTGATACACGTGCAGGTGCAATATCGTGACGAAGCTGCCAGTCACCAGTTGCCCATAGCTGCAGCCTTCTGGATCACCTGAATAGTTTCCAGGGAGGAATGTTCAAGCTTAATGCAAAATTTGATAGATTCATTATTCTACCTGTTCAGTCATTTCTAATGTGATGGCCACACAGTACATACGCTCACTCAACAGCATCTACTGTGCCCACTGACTAGTACAGTGAAGGTGTCATTGTTCATGCACATGCATTTTAGTCCACTCTCCTTGGCTGCCAGGTTACATCTGTGTTGCACAAACCATTCTCATTATATTAACAGTGGGTAGGCTTATTCCAGACAGACCTCATATTTCAAGGAAAGGTGGTTTGATCTGAATTTCACCAGACTGGAGAAATCTGTTTAGAATGTGTCCCCTCTGCATTTGGAAACTTCAGCCTTCCCTGTGCAAGTAGGACATGTTTTTCTCGTTTTTAACTGAAAAACAAGGGGTGGACTTAGCCAGATTTCTTGATTCTGCCAGATCTATCTAAGCTGGCAGTTAGCCATAGTGTGTAACTTGATGAGTGCCTTGAGGTTATTCTTATGCATAATTGTGGCACATCTAGTATTTAAAGGTAAACCGATAAAGAATGAGTGTTCACATGTGATTTTGAATAAATATACATGGTGACGGGAGACATTGATTCCTTTGCTGGTACCTACCAAGCAGCTGTCGTGGCCCAGCGCTGACTTAGCTCTAGTTGCAGAGTGAACAGGGCGGCACGGCCCTGACAGTGCAGAGCAGGAAGGTAGAGCCTTCGAGCAGACTTGGCCCAGCTGATGGTGTGCATGAAGCGAGATGACAGGCAGGTCATCCGGGCCTTGCTTGATTCAGGGGCCAGAAGCTGCTTCTCCCTCCACCAGTTTTGTGGGCTAAGTGCGTCCCATGTACCCACGTTCTTCCTCATTCTGGAAACCATTTCTGTCACGATACGGAGGTGAATACAGTTACAAACCACTTTTGGTATTTCAGAGTTAGAATATTCTGATTGTTTCTTCTTGATTGCTTTGCTTACCTTGTTGTTCTAGCAATCACTAAGACTTCCAGCAGAGGACAGGACTGGAAAGAGACAGGACAGTGAACTCGGGCCAAACATTGTGGGCCCAAGGATGAAGGATACAGGACACACACAGCCAGCATTGATGGGAAAACAGGTTTAGGGAATGGTGGATGTCACCATCCTCTGGTTCACAGAGTCATGGCTCTGAAATATGTTCATTCCTTTGAGAAAATGCTATATAAATGCATGGCGACAGTAGAAGAATACTTGCTATTTACTGGAAGTGATCAGAATTTTCGGATGACATCTTTGTGTCTAGGAAATAACAAGTTAATGTCTCAGAGGAGGCAAAGGTAGGCAGTTTGATTTGCCTTGAGAATGCTGATCTTCCACTTTTTGGGGGTTTTATACAATTTTTCTTTCTTTACAGAATGAAGTTGGCCTACTGGAGTTCTTCCAAAATGTGATCAAAGAAACTAGGGCAGAGCCCAAAAAAGTGACTAGTTGGGTCCTCAACACTTTTCTGGGTTTTTTAAAGCAACAGAACCTTGCCGTCAGTGAGAGGTGAGTGGGGTCAGGGGATTTCTTCTTTCTTTGTGATGAACTGTGTGCCCAGAAGCAGCTGAAGTAGGACAGGGCCAGTGTATTACTCTCCTTGTTCTCCCTAGGATCTCCTGACAGGATGCTAGCATCCCCTGTGAATTCTGAATTCTAAAAGATGCCCTCCATCATAGCTGAAAATGCGGTTATTTGTTCCAGTCTCTGACTGTCCACACTGACCTTTGTACTGTGCTGGGGCCTGCATGTGAACAAGACAGGGGTTTGCAAGTGTGAGGGGCCTGCAGACCTATGAGAAAACAGACGGTGGGAGATCCCCAACAGCAGTGGAGTAGGTGGAAGCTACACTCAACTCACCTCCTCATAGGACCAAACTGGAATTATAACTAAAATAGAGAGCAATCAACCTGAATAACTAACTGAAACTAGTTGAAGAGTAAGTAGTCTTACAACCAAGGATCTACAGAAAAAGCCACATTGAGATGGTAGGAAGGGTAGAGATGGGAAAAGGGCTGGCCCCACTCCCACGAGCAGCGGCTGAGATTCTGGAGGGATATCTTAGCTGCAAAGGTTTCCCCTGAGAAGAGTAGATCCTGATTCAACCCCAGTCAAGGCCCCAGAGCCCCAGAGCTGGGAACAGGCCCCCACATAACATCTGACTGTGAAAATCGGCAGGGATTATGTCCACCAGGGAGAGACAAAAGTCTGCTAGAGACACAGGTGTCCTCTTAAAGGGCAAATACATCGAATCTCATTCACAGCCACTCACCTTGGGCTCCAGCAGAGAGAAGGCTGAGCAGAGTAGTTGTGTGAGGAGAGACTGGGGTTTGTGGCTCTGGAGAGAGCCAAACGGATAGCCACTAAGATTCCTGTGCTGAACCCCTTGCTCATACCACAGATGCCATCATTCTTGGGTGGAGCACTCCCCTCCAAGACCATCAGCCTGGGGGAATGCACAGCCCCACCCTCTGGACTCCCTGTCACCCCACCCTGCAGAGTTCATACCCTGCCGAGGAACCAGCTGCCTGAGCTGGGATGTAGAGGTCTTGGCAGGTTCAGAGGGTGTCAGTGACTGAGTGGTGAGGCTTTGGGACGGAGGCCATCCCTTCACTTTCCCATGAACTCACCGTGCCTTCTCCTCAAGGGAGATCCACCAGCCCTGCTCTCTGGGCTTCTGGTGGCCCCACATCCTGACTCCTGGTGGCTCTGTCCTGCTGAGGTCTGGGCAGAATCAAGAAAAGACTGAATTGTGTGGCTCTGGGGCGGGTGCCGTTCCCCGTGCCTTCCCCGAGGCCGAGTAATGCCCCCCCGTCGTGGGAGGTCCACTGGCTCCATTTTCCCAGCTCCCAGAAGAATCGGGGAGAGACCGAATTGTGTGGCTCTAGAATGGGAGCCATTTTTCCTTTGCATGCCCAACTGGTGCAGAGACCTCCCTTCACCTGGCCAAATCTTGGTCTGTTTGGGCCTGATAAACTCTGCTGGCATTTCCCTGATGACTCCCTGATACCCCACCTGCCACAAAGGTGTGTAAACACCCAGCAGGTGCCAGCTAGACTTGATACGCCCTGGGACATTTGCTGAGTGGCCTCAGACCCAGCACTGGCACCAAGTTTGAACTTGCATCAGTCTGGTGAACTCCACTTGCTCCTACCTGGTGACTCACTGAAAGCCTGTCTCATGCAACTCCAGTACCATCAGAGGCTCTTTAAGTGACTGAGCCTAACAGGCAGGCGGAGGCAGATCTCAAGGTGCTCTGGGATTTTTGCTGACCTGCCCCTAGGCCTGCTGCTGGTAAAAGGCAGACTTGTCGCGCAGCTTTGTCCTTCCTCTACACATCCAGGCCCTGCAGAGGAAGCCACAAACTGTAGATCGCTTTATGGCACTAAACAGGTTGCCCAGGACCAGTTATAGGCAGTGTCTGACATCGGTCTGCACCAGAGTCCCTCCCAAGAAGCCCCAGAATCAGCACACCCAGTGGTCAGCTTCAGAAAACATGAGAGCAGGAGCCAGTAAGCTCCACGAGTGGCATATTGAAAGGGAGATCTCGACAGGTACCAGACCTTGCTGAGGCAGACTCTGCTTTGTGTGGCCAGCACCTTGACACAGCATCTTGTACGTTGTGGTTGGGGTTGATCCCCACAGTCAGCCAACCTGAAAGTTGACCCTGCACGTGAACTTGCCAATAGCAATCAAGATTCAATTGCAAGAGGAGGGTTCCCATAACCCACACAAAGAACTTGGAGCACCCTGTTCAGGTGATCAAGGAGACTGGGTCCCATAGGACACCTGCTAGTAAGACCACTCTACCAAGACTGGGAGTCATAGCAGATCTACCTGATACATAAAAACAAACACAAAGAGGCAGCCAACACAGGAGACAATCATGCCCCAAGTGAAAGAACAGGAGAAATCTCCAGAATGAAATGAAGCCAAGCCAAGGTATCAGATACAGAGTTCCAAAAATCGTTATAAGGATGCTCAAGGAACTTAGAACTACAACAGCATGAAAAAGAACATAGGAACCATAAAAAAGAACCAGTCAGAAATGAAAAATACAATGTCTGAAATGAATACACTAGAAGGAATAAATAGTTTGGATGAAGCAAAGGATTGGGTCAGCAATTTGAAAGACAAGGTAGCAGAAAACACCCAATCCAAGCTGCAAAAAGAAAAAAGAACTTTAAAAAACAAGGAGAGTTTAAGGGACCTTGGGAAAATGAAGTGTAACAACCTCTGCATCACAGGGGATACCAGAAGGAGAAGAGAGAGAGAGCAGTAGATCGAGAACCCATATGAAGAAATAATTGAAAATCTCCCTAACCTGGTGCAGGAAAAAGACACACAAGTTCAGGAAGTGCAGAGAGTCCCAAACAAGATGAACCCAAAGAGGCCCACACCACGACACATTGTAAATTACCACAGGTTAAAGACAAAGAGAGAATTGTAAAAGCACAGGAAAAGATAGTTACCTACAAGGGAGTTCCCATGAGACTGTCAGTTGGTTTCTCAACTGAAACATTTCAGGCAGGAAGGGATTGGCATGAAATACTTAAAAGTGATAAAAAGCAAGGACCTACAACTAAGACTACGTTAGCTAGTAAGGCTATCATTTAAAATTAAAGGAGAAAAGAAGAGCTTCCCAGACAAGAAAAAGCTGAAGGACTTGATTATCACCAAACCATTATTACAAGAAATGTTAAAGGATCTTTAAGAAGAAGGGATGAAAAAAAGAGGAATGTAGTTAAAAGATTAAATGGTAATAAGTATATACCTATAATCACTTTAAATGTAAATGGTTTAAATGCTGCAATCAAAAGACATGAAATATGGTAGCTAAAAGGGTAAGAAAACAAGACCCATATATATGCTGTCTATAAGAGTCCCACCACAGAATGAAAGATACACACAGACTGAAAGTAAAGGGTTGGAAAAAGATATTTCCTGCAAATGGAAATGAAAAAGAAGCTGGGGTAGCAATATTTTGGCAAAAGAGACTTTAAAATAAAGGCCTATTTATACATTGTAAGCCTCTACTGGGAAACTGTGTTTAAGATGTTTTCTGTGATGCAAATTAAAGCCACAAAAGATATCACCTCACACCTGTCAGAATGGCTATCATCAATAAATGAACAAACAACAAGTGTTGGAGAGGAAGTGGAGAAAAGGGAACCCTTGTGCACTGTTGGTGGGAATGCAGACTGGTGCAGCCACTGCAGAAAGCAGTATGGAATTTACTCAAAAAACTGAAAATAGAACTGCCTTATCACCCAGTGAATCCACTTCTGAGAATTTATTCACAGAAACCTGAAACACTAATTGGAAAGATCTGCACACCCCGGTGTTCATGGCAGCATCGTTTATGATAGCCAATCCAGTCAGTGAGTGAGTGAGTGAGTAAAAAAGTGTGGCACGTTCACCAGTGGAGTACTGCTCAGCCACAGAAAGAGGGAAATCTCCCTCTTTATGGGCGTGAGAGGGAGACAGCATGGGTGGACCTGGAGAGTATTGTGCCGAGTGAAATAAGCCAGTCAGAGAAAGCCAAACACCATATGATTTTACTCACATGTGGTCTAGAAGGTCTGAGGCATCTAATATGAAAAATAGAGACCTTCTCAAAGAAGATGGTCAGGAAGGGTGATCGACAGCAGGGCTGGCGGGAGAGGGGCTGAGGGAGAGCAGTCATCTCAGACCAGGAACGGGGGGGGGGGGGGGGGTACCACTTCCTTTCTGGAATGCTGGGTCGGAGGTGCCTACAATACAGCCCCCTCGTAGGGTTTACCATTGAGCAGCCCGTTGTGCGGATCTGCAGCCGACAGGCATACCAGACCTAAAGATCTGAGCGTTCTCCTTTGTTCATTATTCAGCCCATGTTAATTCGGTCCAGTCAACATGACAGATGCCATCTCTGCTTTCAGAGCTAACAGCCTAGAAGCTGGTGATAAGCAGCGAGTTAGGGGCTCTGAGAAGGGAAGGTAACAGCAGAGCTAAGCCCTGAGCAAAGGATGAGTAGGGTAGTCAGGCGAAGTCTGAGGGTAAAAGTGTTCCAGGCATAAGGAGCAGCACGCGGGAAAATCTCGAGGCGAGTCTGAGCGTGGCACTTCTGGGAACGCCAGTATGTAGTCACGTACAAGTGCCACGTGGAGTCATTTGGGCAGATGAGAGCTGTCGGGGAGGCTGCGGCACGATGAGGTGGCTGAGGCCGGGCCTGAGGCTCTCTGGACTCTACCCGCGAGGTGTGGGCTGTGTCAGAGCATGTTTGGGCGGATGGGAGCCCCGGAGAGGTGCTCGAATTTGGTGGGCAGAGAGAGCTAGGCAGGCACTGACAGTCTCGAGAAGAGATGCGCTCCCTCCTTCGCCAGACTGAGGAAGAGCCCGGGAACCACAGAAAGCGGCACTAGGCCGCTGGTCCCGAGCAGGCAGGACGTAGAGGAGGGTCCGTCAACAAGAAGGAAGGGAATCTGGAGGCCCAAGGCGAGGTTTTCACAAGGGGTCTAAAGGCGGCTACGGGTGGGTGCAGCAGGATGGGAGGAGGCTGTTATTTGGCAACAGAGGGAGGGGAGGGGGTTTTAAGAGGACAGCTTTAGGGCTAGGGTTAGAACCCAACCACCACATGCTGACAAGGGTCAGTAGTAGCCTCTGATGCCAGATCTTCTTTATTGGTAAGAAATAAGGTACAAAACCATGCAGAGGACATGACAGTAAGATCACTCGAAGACATTTTCAAGATAAGGGAGGTCTCAGTGATTGTGAAGGTGTGGAATTAAAGCCACAGGAGAGAGGAAGCAGCCATCCACGTCGAGTGGCATTCTCAGGAGTGGGAGTGGTGGGGCTGAGAGCACAGCTGGAGGGGTTTGTGTGATGGAAGAGAAGGCACCGCTGTTGAGAGTTCAGGATTCTGCACCTGCAGATGTTCTAATGCAGTGGGAGGTGAGGGTGTGTGCGGAGGGGGGTGGGTGGAAAGGAAGCTGCCAGAACAGCTGCCTCAGTGGGGGAGCCGGGTTGGGGGTGAAATAATTGAGGTAAAAGGGTTATTTATTAGCAGCAGCCCCCTGGATGTCCAAGTCCCAGTATCTTCCTCCAGGAGCTCCTTGCATCCCATTTAAGAGAAGCAGAGAAGGGGAACTTTGGGCCTGAAATGACACTGGGGATTGAGAAGGGCAGCACTTTCTCAAATACAGCTCAGCCAGGTTGTGGTTGTAGAGGTGTCCGTCTCTACAGTCCAGGCTGGGGATGGAGTCGTGACCCTGTAAGAGCTCTGGAGGACTGGCCGAGGTGGGGAGGCGTGGAGCATCGCATTCCCGGGCTCTGTAGATACGCTGGCCTCGGGGTTGGAGACAAGCACGCGAAGCTTAGGCCTTCAGGGTCAGACCGTACTTCAGTGGAGATGCGTTCACTGTCCAGAAACTCGTGTTCTCTGACAGCAGCAAGTCCGTAGCTGCTGCTTCTGCCGTTGCGTTCCATGTCTGACGTGTGGGTATCTGACGAGGGGTCTTTCAGCTGAGTGCGGCAGGAACTGGTCTTTGTCACCGCCCCCCTCCAGGTTAGCCCTGGTGTGTCCGGTCAGTCCGTGCAGAATATCAGATATCCCTGTTGGGGGCTAGAATTCCAAAATACAGATACCACTGACCTACTGCGTGTCAAGCATTGTGGGTATAAAAGGTGATTGAGAAATCCCAAGTGCAGTTAGGCCAGTGGAGGTATTTTATAGTGTGAATTTATGACACACTAATGAGTTGAGGTCGTTAGATGAAAGGCAGAGTATTTTTAATCATGTTATCCTCTATTTCTGCCTACCAGTAGCCCTTTATCGCTGACTCGTCTGGGAGTCGATGCCTTTTTCTGCATGCTCTAGAAACCCCGTTCCACGTCACTGTCAGCTGGGATTCTACACAGTATACGCTCGAATTGGCCATTGTATTTTCTAGAATTGCAGAAAATCCCAGAAAAACCGATTCTGTATTACTTGTCAGTAAGGGTGGGAGGCTGGGGAAAGGGTATCGGAGTGCTTCGTAGGAGTTTCAGATACCAACTGAAGAGCACCAGCACTCTCCAAACCTAACTTCCACTTGGAATGGCCTTTATCCACACGTGCTTTGGGATGAACACACTTTAAATGATGTCTGCCTCCGTGTGTTAGCTGTTCTGAGCGGACAGCCCTAATGAGGCTCCACTGTACTTATCAGACCACAGCAAGGCACACCTGGTGAACTTGCTCTCGATTAGTTTGAAATTCATCGGAATTGGCAGAGGCTAAGTGGTAGTTTCCTTTTTATTATCTAAGAGCTTACCAAGAAATTAATAGTGATGGCAACCGAGACTTAAACAGGAGGCGTTTTCAAGTGCTGTTACGCATTTCAGAAGCTTTCATTTACACAGACATGCTAATGTGCTATTTATGAGTTGTTCCTATCTCTTTAAAACCAGCCCCTAATGACCTCAGATAGACAGCGTTTCATCAGCCCAGTTGCTGTATGTGTTTGGAAGTAGTGATACAATATACTTTAGAAGAAATAATCTGTCATTCAGTCTTGTCTTTTCACTAGGTGCCCACTATCCTCCCCGCCAACTCCCACCCCTGAATGTGAATTATGACACTTTATGTGTTGGTTTGCTCCTCGGCCTTTTGTATCACAGAAATTTGTTAAATGAGTCACGTCCTAGGGGTGTAGGTAACGAGCTCCAGGCCCTTCTGCGCCCAGCCGGCTGCTGTGAGCACAGTCTGTAGAGCTGCCCCTGAGGACGCCAGAGACGTGGCGGGCGGTCGTGGCTTCCCTTCCAGAAAAGCTCTCACAATTAAAGAAGAATTTATATTTGCACGGAAACACCCGGAAAAGCAACCTCGTTAGCTGTTTTGTTTGAAGTAGTTTTAGGCCGATCTTTCCTTGAAAACTATGTAATTACTGGGTTTTTTTTCGTTCTTTGTCATGGTTCATGAATTTTGCAGCCACCTCCTTTCTTTGACTAATTAAACTGAGCAGTTGCTACAGCTTCTGCCAAACAGCTGTTATTGTCGGGCAGTAAAACAAAGAAACACACCACTCACAAAAATGTGTTATATCCTAAAAGGCAAAATAAATAAATAAAACAGAACCCAATTTGGCCTGTTGTTTTCATGGCTGGGTGGGGCTTTAATTGTTTCAACGTATAAAATCAAGTGCTCCGATTCTGAATCACTATAATGGGTACGCCGACAATGTGACATGTAAATTTCTTCTCTCTCCGGTGGGGGCTGCAGTCCTGTCACACCGTCTGCACTGGCCGAGCTCCTTGACCTGCTGGACAGGAAAGCAATTTCAGCAGCAGCAGCCAAACAGGTATGTCCATGCTTCCTGAAGCTCCTGGCGGCCTTGCCATCCCAGCAGAGGGGCTGTGTGAGGCACACATGCCGTCGCTCCGTGAGTTTAATACAAGTACTGAGCGCTCGTCAGTGCTGTTTTTATACCGCAAGGTAGAAACGGTTTCTTTAGCAAATGAAGTAAAGCCAGTATGAGCGGGGCAGATGACTTGCTTCTCACCTTTGCTGAGCTGGGGGGATAGTTATTGTTCGGGTTTGTCGGGATGTTCCCCAAACACTTGTTTATGTGAGAGGCCAGGCCCTGAAGTTTCTGGGGGCTTCTGACTGCCTCCCCGCGTTCCGGTGCTCTCCTGTCCTCCTCCGCAACCTCCCAGCCCAGCACCAGGGGCTTTTTTCTCTGTGTTGTGCGGTTGTCTTGAAAGGCAGTCTTCCACCAGGAGGGCGAGGTCAGACAGACCGCCTCAGGTGAGCTTAGAGAAAAGTTTACACACGTACTCAGTGTGCGGGAGAAACAGCATCATTGTCCAAGATGGCCCGTGTCTCATCTCCACCTGGCAGTCTTAGGTAAGTGAACAATTTCTGGAATTCTGAAAACTCAGACAGATATGGACCCAGGAAGGTAAAGAACACCAAGGTGGCTGCCTGATCGCAGCCTCAGATGTCTGCAGCTGTCAGTGCATCAGCCAGAAACTTAATGTTATTTTAATGGTGCCTTTTGCATTTAATATTTATACACACCGACAGCAGTGGCAGATTACAAAGGGAGGCTCGGGAAAGTGGCTGCTTTCGGCTAATTGTGAGGCACCATGGAGCACACACTGGCTTCTTTGCTATGGAACTGGAGACAGGAACTAATCGAGGCTCTGTGTACCCACCACCAAGTGAGGCCTCAACCGCAGTGCCCTGCCACGTTTAGGAAAGGGTTTCAGCTGCCTGGATGCCAGAGGAATACAAATGTTTATGACATAGCTCAGCAGTAGCAGGAAGATTTGATGGCCTGAGGGCAGGAAATATCTGTGTGTATAAGAAAGCACACATGAAGTGTAGCATTTGAAATGAGAGGGGAAACATCCTTCCATTCATCTCGCCCCACCAAAAACAGAAGGGAAAACAGAACAGAACAGAACAGTTCAGTGAATTTGGTCGTTTGGGGGAAAGAGATGGGAAATGTTGGAAGACCCCGACTGCCGGGTTCCAGACAAAATCCCAGCCAGTCGGAAGGGGCTGCGGCGAACCCAGCTTCTGTGAGGCCGGATTAGAAAGGCGAGAGTGGTGTGCTGCCCAAGGAGATCTGCCTTGTTTATCACTGCCCGGGTGGTTTAGCTTTTTAGTGTTCTTATTTGCTGTCTGAATTCCTGGTGGCAAAAAATGGTATTTTTTAAAAATAATCCATTCTTCAACTGGTACATATGCATGGAAAGATGCCTGGAATGGTACTCCACTAATATTAATGGTAGTTATTTCAGGGTAGTAGAATTGGAAAACCTTCATATTTTCTATATTATTTAAACTGTTTTGATTACTATAGCTTTGTAGTATAGTTTGAAACTAAGTGCGTGTGATGCATCCAGCTTCGTCCTTTTTTTTGAGGCTGGCTTCAGCTATTAGTCTTCTGTGGCACCGTTACAAACCTCTGGGTTTTGGATTTGTTTTTCTGTTGTTCTATTTCTGTGAAAAATGCTATAGGGATATTGATAGGAATTACATTGATCTGGATATTCCTTAGGTCACATGAATGTTGTAACAATATTAATTCTTCTAATCCATGAATGTGGAATTTCTTCTCATTTTTCGCGTCATCTTCAGTTTCTTTCAAAATCATCTTACAATTTTCAGTGTTTAGATCTTTCACATCCTTTGTTTATTCCTAGGTGTTGCTCTTGTTGCGATTGTCAGTGGGACCGTTTCCTCGTTTCTTCTTGTGGTGGTGCACTACTCATATGCAGAGACGCAGCAGGTGTTGCGCCTTGAGTTCGTGTCCTGCGACCTTATTGTGTTGTTTCTAATAGTTCTTTGTGGAGTCTCTGGGGTTTTCTATATATAAATTCCTGTTACCCACAAATGGTGCTTGTTTCACTTCTTTTTTTCCCAATTTGGATGCCTTTTATTTATTTATTTTTTCCTTGTCTAATTGCTGTGGCTAGGACTTTCAGTATTATGTGGATAGAAGTAACAAGAGTGGGCAGCTTTATCTTGTTCCTGATCCCAGAGGAAACACTTGCCGTCTTCCACCTTTGAGTCTATTAGCTGCTGGTTAGTCGTGTGGCCTCCATTGTGTTGAGGAACTGTTCTTCTAAACCCATTTTGAGAGGTTTCATTATAAATGGATGTTGTACCTTGTCAAGGTGTTTAATGCATCGATTGAAATTATCATAGGCTTTTTATCTTTCGTATTGTCACTTCCTCATGTCTACTTTGAGGTCTACTTTAAACAAAAACCAGCAAACCCTTTGTAGACAGTGTTTTGTGTCATGCGTACAAATGATGTTACGTCTTTCACTCCCTTGTGGTGCTGCAGCTCTTTGCACACTGTGCTTTGCCCTGCCCCTCTGGTGTCTCGGGTCGATGTTTGCTGCTTTCTAGGAGTACTTGCCTTTGACCAGAGGAGCTTCCCCTCACTGCCACTGTCACAGCTCCCTCCCTGCGGTCTCCCGTGAACGGGTCCATCCTCCACACTGACCCTGGAAGTCCCCAGGATACAGATACTGGAGGGGCCCGCCTGCTCACCTTCCATCCTTCCTTCCAGTTATTTAAAAATGGCTTTAGCTAGAGAAACACTTGTATAGTAGATAAGAGGATGTGTGAATTCCGGCCCCAGGGAACTGAGGGCTGAGTTTCTGTGCTCCCCACTGTGCCCCATTTCAGAGCTGCCTCCATGGTCAGAGTATAATTGGGGGTCCCCAGTTTGCATTACCCCATACTTTTGGTGGCATTTATTAACACACTGCCTTGGGAATTCCTTGTTCCGTATGTACACTTGTCTTAGGTGGGCAGGAGCAGGGCCTGGGAGCTGCATGTTTAGCCAGAAACAGTTGTACTTTGATGGCACTTCCCAGGGCAGTGGTTAAACACAAAGAGGACTTACACTGTAGCAGGAATCTGGCAACCATGAAGCCGTGAGAGCTGCTGCAAGAGGCCAGGGGAGGGAGCGCTGCAGAGTCGGGCCTGGAGGCCAGGGGCCCCTTTGGTGGCTCCCACCCTGGTGGGTTCTCCCTTGGAGTGCAGTCTGTGTTCAGTAGCAGTGAGCAGAGGACTGGACCAGCAAAGTCTGCTGTGTTGGCCCAGGGGGCTCGAGCTGGTAACGGCCACTGGACTAATCTGGGAAGTTAATAAGCTGATGTGTTCTAACTCTAAGAGTAGAGAACAGTCCAGCTACCACGTTCCCATTTGTTCCAGGAGGCCACTGAAATGTATTTCTCCGGTGTCCCTCCTTTGTTCCCCCATCTTTCTCAGGGAGCAGCCAGTCTCCCTGCATTTAAAAGCATCCATCCTGGCCTTGTCCTGCTTTTCCTTCTACATGGTGTGTGTGGTTTGGCCATGATCCCCAAGCTGCCTCAGGCAGATTCAGCCGGCATGTGAGCCTGTAGGGTCCCTGCCACGTGAGTGCCAGGCAAGGCAGGCACCCTGGGTGGCCCGTTCAGATCTGCCCTGCGCTCTCAGCTGCACCTGCAGTAGCAGCAAGGCCTGGGCATGGCCCCTGGGGCCGGCCAGCGTGCTGCTGCACGGCCACGTCTGCCGGGCCCCCCGTCCCCTCCTGCTGTAGAGAGCTGCTGCGCAGTCTTTATGAGCAAGTCTTTGCAGGTAATTTTCACTTCAAGCCAGAGACCTGGAGTCTCTTGAGATCTCCACTCTCTTCCTAAATGTTGGACATTTCAAACTAGGAACTTTATTAGGAGACTGTAGAGATGAACAAAATGAACAGTGGTCAATGTCTAAATACCTACCACTAGGGGATAATTTAATTATGAAAATATATTGGATGGTATTACTTTTTTATTAATATAAAAAAGCACTTTTGTAATAAGTGAAACAAAAGCAAGTCACAGATCATATAGACATGATCACAACTGCATTACAAAACAGGAAACAGGAAGGGAAAAATCTTTTCTTTTTCTCTTGTTTCCCTTACCTGAGGGGAGAGATCCAAAAAATATTGCCAAGAGTGATGTCAGAGAATTTACTGCCTATCTTTTCCTCTAGGACTCCATGGTCTCAGGTCCTGCACCCAAGTCCTCAATCCATTCTGAGTTTATTCTTGTGTACACAGCAAGAACACGGTCCCGCCTCACTCCCCTGGGTCTCTCTGTTCAGCTTTCTCAGCACCATCTACTTCAGACACTGTCTTCACCCCACTGTGCCTCTCTGCCTCCCCTGCCATAGATCAATCAACCATATAGATGTGGGCTTACCCCTGGGCTCTGTTCTGCCCCATCAGTCCACACAGCTGTCCCCTGTCACCATACCATGCTGCCTTGACCACCATAGCCCTGGTAGTACTGCCCAAAGTCAGATAGCATGACATCTCCAACTTTGTTCTTTCTCGTTATTGCTTTGGCTGTTTGAGGGCTGTTGTGCGGGGGCTGACCCCAAGGAGCAGAAGTTGCTTTAGCAGGGCTCTGGTACCAGCTGAGTCTTCCCTGCAGATGTGTCATTTGTGGAGCTGGCTGGGTGGCACTCTGGTATTGTCTGAAGCTGGCTGCATATGTTGGTTCCGGAGCCTCTTGGGAGGGGCTCTGGTGCAGGCCAGGGTCAGCCACTGCTTCTTCTGGGCTTGGGACTCCAAAGTGATCTGTAGTTGGTAATCGCTTGTGCTGGGCTTGAGACCTTTGCGTGGGCGCCACGTGGGAGTTGGAGCCAGCCACCACGTGTGTCAAGCTTGTGGCTGCTTAGTTAAGGCAACGTTCCAAGTCAAGACTGGCCGCAGCTCACACCAGGCTTGGGGCCACCTGGTGAGAGTTACATGCAAGTTGAGACTGGTCATCACTTGTGCCAGGCTCGGGGCCACTTACCAAGAGATTCAGAACATGCCAAGGCCAGCTGCTGCTTGTTTGGGGTCTGTGGACCTTTGAGAGACTTTAGGAGAGTCCACAGCATGAGCTAAAGCAGGCCCCTTGTGTGGAGGAGCCACTTGAAGTGGCTCAGGCCAGACGAGCAGGTTGGGGGGTGGTGTCAAGGACTCACCAGGGCTGGGTGAGCGGTGTCAGCTGGGTTGGTGGAGAGCTCGGGTTTGGTGCCACCTCGGCAGGCTGGCTGCAAGGGAGGAGAGCTCCACAAAGGAGCAATGGCTTGTGCCAGCCCTCCCACCTCTGGAGAGAGCTGTCGCCACCCCGTCCTTCCAGCTCTGGAGCCAGCCCATGTAGTTCCTCACTGTACGTCCCTGCTGTCGCTGTACTAGAGTCCAAAGCGAGTGAGTTCATGAGCAGGGGGGTCTGTGCCCAGGCCCTGGAGGACTGCCTTGGTCTCCAGCAGCGCTCCGTCTCACTCCAGTGCAGTCCCTGCTGGTTCCTCACAGCCAGATGTTATGGTGTTGGTACCCTGGGCTGGGGAACCCCGGTTCCTCAGGGGGACCCCAGAGCTGACTCTTAATCTCCTCACCATGGATATGGGACCTGTTCGTTCTGTGCCTCCGCCCCTCCTGCCATTCTCAGTGGGGCTTCCTCTTCATGGGACGTCCGTTCAGCCAGTCTTCAGGCCGTTCCTCAGTGATAGCTGTTCTGTAACTGGGTTGTCGTGCTGATGCGGGAGGAGGCGAGCCCAGCTTTTACCCACTCTGCCATTTGACCAGAAGTCCTGTGCGTTAGTTATGGACCAGCTCTTCTAGGAGAGATGGACGGCTGGTCCTCGGCCAGAATGGTCGCAGGGTGTTCAGTGCTCGGAGATGACCGCAGGCCAAGCAGCAGGAGGGGCCACAGCAGAAGAAGGGGACACCACCCCATTCCCGCTTCCTCTAGATAAGTAAGAGGAAGGAGGGAAACTACTCTAGGAAGTGCCTTCTTTAAAAGTATTTTCTTTTTCCAATTTTAGTAAGTTTGGTATTCGTTACTGTTACCATTTTTTAAGTAGAAAAAATGCACCATGAACTGTTGATCATCCTAGCCAGAATTGGGGCCAGCTCCACCTGTAGGGGATAAATGTGATAGGCCAGTCCCTGTGGACTGTGATTTGTGTGTTTAGTTATTTTCCGTCTCGGGTCTTCATTATGGGGCCACTTTCGCGCTCCCCTGATTTCAGGTTTCCCAGCAGGCTGGGTTTTCTGGACTTTGTCCAGGTGCGTGGTTACCTCCTACAGCCTGTGGGGCTCCATCCCACATCAGAATGTCACTTCAGTCCCTTAATTCGGGGGACACAAGACAGAGCTGGGCCCCATACTCCGACCCCTGCCAGCAGGAGCCCTTTGAAAGGTCGCCTCACACCTCCCCGCTGCTCCTCCCTGTTGTGTGGTTGGAGTCCGCCAGCAGGAAGGCCCCGTCTGTGGTGAGGCCTCCTGCTCTGTTCTGGGGGAGTTCAGCTCGGGGAGACTCCAGGTGTGTCTGCATGCCCTGCAGAGCAGCTTCGTCCCCGATGCTTCAGGGGAGACAGGCCCCTGCAGCTGGGATTCCCGGAATCGGCCCACTGACTCCTCTCTCCCGCCTCTGGCCCGTAGGTGTTGAAGGAACTGTGGGGGAGTGAAGGGAAGACGCCAGCGCAGATCGTTTCAGAGAAGAAGCTTGAACTGATGCAGGACCAAGAGGCCCTGGAGCAGCTCTGCCAGGCCACACTGGAGGAACATCCACAAGTGGTAATTCCCACCGTGGGGTGCAGAAGGTCTCCACGTGCAGCCGGGGAGAGGGCCACCTGCTGGCCAGCAGGGGGTCAGCCTGAGGACACGGCCAGGAATCTGTCCTTAGCTCCCTGTAGCAACCCAGAGGCGCTGCCTCAGAATGGCTGACCCAGTTTCAGCAATAATTCACTATTTTTGTCAGTTTTTACCTAAGGTCAAGAGATGAAATTAGGGGAATATTACAAAAATAGAGCTTTCCCCAAGGAAAAGGAAAATCTACCCCTGCAGCTTAATCTCATGGAATTTCAGTTTGAAGGGTAGTTCTCGAGTCCCCCGGCCGCTGCCCCTCCCGGGGTTGATGTCCTGAATGGGTGGTGGCTGGCTCTGCTCTGTGAGGGGCCCGGTTAGTAAAAGCAAGCAGGCATGACTGCAGACCAGGAGGACAGGTACGGAGATGCTTCAGCTTCACACCTTTAAGAGGTGGGAAGAAAAGCAGAAAGGAAAATATGGAGAAAAGCCTTAATAGGAACGTAGCTGAAAACCAAATCATGCTGAGTGTAGAACAGAGTAGAAAAGCTACACTGAGCAGCATTCCTCCCTCCCGAAGTCTAATCATACTGTCCAGAGATATTGTCAGTGCAGGGGAAATTGTTGGAGCTCTTGATGAGGACAGTGGGCCTGCCCTGGGTCTCGGCAGTCTGTCCTGCCTCGGCCACAGTGCCCGACACAGACACACTTCTGCAGCTGAGTGCGAATACGCGCAGGTGTTCCTGCCGATCCCACTGTCACAGAGTGGTGGCGTTCGGGGCCTGCTTCTGCTGTCCCGACCTGCCCCCACAGTGCACGCTCCCCCCATCCAAATGCTCTGGGAGAGTTGCCATTCTATGGATCTGTTTTCTAATAACCGGGAGGTTCATCTTTCGGGGGAGAAGGAAATCCATGCATTGCAGGGCCCGCTGACCCCCACTGGAGGCTGCGAGAGGCTCCTCACTGGTGAGTCCAGACAGCAGTCCTGTGGGCGGGCACTCAAGACACACACGGTCCTCTGGGCCGTTTTCATGGGAAGGCTGGGTGGCGGTCTCTCCTCTTGACAGGAGCCTGGAAACCGCCCCAGAAGCTCACCCCCCCTTTTTCTTTTTTCATTGTGTATCTAACACTAAAAGAAAAAAACACTTTAAATTGCAGTAAGTACAAACCTTAATTGAGGATGTTTAGTTATGAGTCTCTTTCTCCTCTAATACAATTTCCGTCTTCTAAGGTAATGGATGTGAAGAAGGGAAACCCCAGAGCTATCAATAAACTGATTGGGCTGGTCCGAAAAGCGACTCTCAGCCGAGCAGAGCCCACTGTGATCAAAGAGATACTGGAGAAGAAGCTGTCGTCATCGTGAGGTAGTTCGGGTCCCTCTGCCTGAGGGAGGCGGCACAGCCGGGACACAGGGCAGAGCCTTGAAACCCGGCGTCCCCGTCCCTGAGCCAGCCAGAGCAGGGGCCACACCTGACCTGTGCGCCTTGGGGGCCGCCTCGCCCCGTCTGTGTCGCTGGCGTCAAAGCCGCACCAGCTCAGCTGCAACTGGGGTTAAGACACAGCACATTCCGGTGCTTAGTAATTCTGAACTAAAGGAAAGGCACTGTTTCAAATGCTGTCACCTTTCTAAGAAGAATTTATTCTGCAGTATTTTTAGCCTCAAAAATAGGTTGATGGAGAGAAAGACTGAAGAATAAATCCACTGGTGGCGTAAACATAAGGCTTGTTCAGCGAGGTCTCCCGAGGGCAGGAAAGGAGGCTGTTAGTCTTCTATCAGGTATCGGTACTGTTCAGCCCCTAGGGACTCCAGAAGGCAGTGCTCTGAAAATGAAGAATTTTTTTGTAAAGTAGACAACAGACGTTTTCAAATAAATTTAATGAATAAAATATATACTGAAATATTGCATAAAAAAATTACACTTCAAAGACTGTGCAGCTGACAGTCCTCCTCCCCCCACCCTCAGACCAAAAAGAGATAAAAAGAAAAGCTGTAACATTAAATGGGTTTGTTTTTCCTGGAAAGAATATGATTATAAACTGGCATATCAAAACCCTGACCTTCAACATTAACTGTGGTGCAGTTAGTGTCTCCGCGCCGGCTGGGCCGCCCGCCCTGCTCGTGAGGACACTGGACGCCCCTTGTTCACGCGATGCTTCGTTACCTCTGCCCTGCAGCGCTTAAAGGCCACTTTGCAAATGGTGTTTTTTAAAAGCACAGGCCAAATTCTGACACGAGTAAGAACACAGTGTTGGAGAGCCCCAATTTTACACTGACTTCAGTCTACCAAGTGGAAGCATCTCCATCAGGAGTGGCGTCCCCGTGGCAGCCGGAGAAGCGGACCCTTGCCCATCACTGTCTACAGGTAATGGCCACAGCGCTTGCTCAGGACCCCTAACTGGAGTCATGACGAGTGTCTGTCACCTCAGCCAAGAAGCCTTGTGTCCCTCGCACGTTCCGTCACAATCCTGACAACTGCTGGGCATGAAGGAAAATGTTTTCATTACACCTCTTTCCAGGAGAGAGGCAGAGTCCCTTCTCCCCCCGCCCCACGCGTCCCTGACTTCCAAATGGGCAAAGGCAGTTGGAGGGCGGCCCTGGTGGGCTCACTGGTTAGCCGGCCCGGCTGCCTCTATGGAAAGCACTGGGGGTTCTTTCCAGGCCATTTTAAAGCGGGGCTTACCTAAGTGGGGTGAGGGGCGGCCAGGGAAGAGGGCTTACCAAACTGTTGTGTCAAGTGTCAACTGTATTACCAACTGACCATTTCCAGAGAAACAGGCCGCCATTGAATCACTGGTGTTTACCATGCATGCAGATTATCCCCCTCTCTCACAGTTGCCTGTGGTCTTGAAATCCTGAAAATCGAACTGCTGTGTAGTTATAACAGCTTAGAAGAAATGAAATCAAATCACAGCTCAGCCATCTTACTTGGAACCTGACTAGATATTTGAAAGATATGTTCACATCATGCCCTAAGAGATTCCAGTGTGGCTCTGCTTATAAATGGGCCTCCATGAAATACAATTTTGCTTTTTTGAATGCGTATGAATTTGGTCTGGTTCTTTCTTTGCTATTCAGGGGCAAATCTCATGAAAATGTATGAGTTGGCACCATAGGTGAAGCCATTGCCATCTGCCGCTGGAACCCACACACCTGTAAGTGGGGAAGGGAATGTGCTAGGAAACCGGCTGCCCCCCAGCCTGGTCATGTCCAAACCATGGGTTCTGTTGCTTGAGGGGAGACCTTGGAGGGCTGGCCGGTTATGGTGGGAGGGTGGGAATGTCAGCCTCGGGACTCAGCGTGCCACCTGACACAGAAGAGGTATTTAGGAAAAGGTCATTGGACTTACAACACTAAATGGACAGCCCTTCATGGGGCCCCTTTGCATGAGAGGCTGGTACTGCAGACTGAATGGGCTTGTAAACTCGGGATATCTGTGTCTAAGGAGGAGCTTCTTGACCACATCCTGGCTCACAGGTGAGGGCGAACTTCTGTCTTTCAAGGTGAAGATGGCCCAGGAAAAAGAACTTTGATCATTATTTTTACCAAGTGAAGGGTGTTTTAGCTGAGCTCCACATTCCCCCTTCTTTTCTGTGATCGTCACCAATCTGGAAGCAGCTGTGATGCACGCACCCTCCTGGAGGTCTGAGTGAGCTGGGCGACTGAAGGTCTAGCTTGTGGCTGTGACCCACAGTTTACATTCTCGTTTTCATTTCTACTGAACTCAGCTGCTTCATTTCACAGATACTCCAGAGTGACCATTCGGGGAAAAGCAATGACTCTGTCTGAAAGGCCATGCTGTGTGTCCATTACCAAGAGCATCGTGAAGGGGACGGTGCCGCCTTGGCAGCTTTCAGACCCGTGCATCTATGGATTGTTCGAGGAGAGAGCTGACCCCAGACTGTAAGGAGGAAGGCTCTGATTCAAATTGTCACTGGCTGCCTCCTTTAGTTAAAACAACTTAGCAAAAATCAATTAAGTAAAATCCGCACCAAATTTCCTCTTTTAAAATGCCTCCAGGGCGAAAGGGGACCTCGTTATACGAGGGCCTTCTGTAGACCTGTCCCAATTAAAAGTCAGCTGATGTGCTAAGAAACACAGCCTTCTGCAGCCTCAGCACCGCAGAATTCACAGTGTGGCCTGAGAGCTTCCATCACGCTTGTCAGATCTGAATGACAGTAAATCTACGCTCCCCTGAAAGGGGCCTGAAGTGCACACCGAACTCTCGCTGACGGGACTTGCTGCAGCCTCGCTACCCGTGTGGGTGACGGTGAATTCGCTTTCCTCACGTGTAAGTAGGAATGATGCACAACAACCAAGGGGGCAGGAAGGGTCAGTGCCACCTGAAACCATTATTCATTTTAGGACTCTCAGGTGCAGAGGCCAAAGAGCCGAGGGCTTCCTCCCCACCCTGCCCTTGCGTTTCCCCTGCAGAACCTCACCAAAAATCCTTCATAAAGCCCTGTTTAGCCAGTTAATGAGCTGCCTGGGTAATCTGTCCTCAAAACAAGTAATTGCCTAATAAATGCGTGGACGGAGAGAGCATTTACTGAGGCAGAGTTATCCTGAGAATGACTCATCTTCCAAGAGCTCTTCCTTAAAAAAAGTATTAGGTTTATGATGGTCATTCAGACAGAAAGAAGGCGTCTACTTCATTTTCTTTCAGTGTTTCCTCAATGTGATTTAAGAATGGAGCATAAACCGACTTGACAGTGTTCTGTTTTAAGCTGTTATTTGATGGAGAATTAGTGGTGTGTGATTTATCGACTGATGGCTGAAGCGCAGAGGGGCCTGAGAGCATCTTAATGACTCCAAGCTCCTGTGGCCTCAGTTACCAGAGGACTGCTGTTCTCAGGAAGGGCTTACCCTGCAGAGCTGGCTGGGATTGGCCGCCAGCCACGATTGCCCCGGCCTGGGCCCTGGCTCGAAGGGGCACATGCAGGAATGGCTGTCCTGCACTAAGCTGTTTCATAAAAGTAGCAAGCATGGTGGTCATTTCAGTAAAGAAGGGCTGGCTGGTAATTAGCAATTAAATCAAACTGCCCTTCAATGAGAACTGGAGAGGATGCTGTGGATATTTAATGTCACCCTTCTGACACGTCCCACCCCTGCTGGAGCTGCACTGCCCTTGTGAAGATGACCTGGACACGCCTGCGCAGACTTGGGATGCAACCCCTAACCGCCACATGGAGCTGGAAGCTTGCCCACGTGCCTGCTGAGCTGATGCAGAGACACCCACCACAGATTTCAGCCTGAGCACCACAGGAAGCCAGATACTCACATACCGTTTCCAGGGTCTGCTGCTAATAGGGGGCTCCCCAGACAGCTACACCTGACCACAATGAAAGCCACTGCGAAGGAAGAGGTACGCCTGAGGCCCCGTGAAAGAACCGAACGCATCCTCCCTGCAGGTGACAGAGACAGGAATTCCCAGCCCAGAACATCAAAGTAGTTTCCAAAACACAGGGGAGGGCAGAAGTGGGTTTACAGTTGTGAGTGCATGAAACACGTTTTTTCCCCTTGTTTTATTATTATTCATTGGAACTACAACTATAAACTCACATTTGTCCACCCCTGGGATACTAAGAAAAATGGGGACAATGTCATAATCCCTCTAAATACCAGGAAAAGAAAGCATCCGCTGCTAAAGAAAATCCCACCTCTGATAACTCCGCATCCCGTCATGGCCAAGAAATTGTGATTTATACTCCTGAAATGATATTTTAGACTAAACCTGAAATTCTTTGTTGAAAGACTTAAGACCATTTCCAAAAATCAATTTTAAATATCCCAGTGGTCTAATATACTTTATACCACGAAATTCATTCCATCCGAACTTAATCTCAGACCCTGAATTATGAAGTGAGGGTAATGTAACGTTCCAGGAGCCCTGGACTCACCTTCACTGCCTGGGACCGTCAGGCTGGACACGGTGACGCCGACCGGGGGACGACGGAGGCTCCACCCGCTGTCTGCCACCAGAAGCACAGTGTTTTGACATGCGGGCCTGAACCCACAGAGAGGTGTCTCTACTCTTGGGCCACATCTTAAAGCATGCCAGGTATCCTTCAATTTTTTTTCCCCAAACTCATTACAGAAAAGATATTTCTAAAGGTCGTACCTACTGTATAATGAATATTCTACTCCATTACCAGGAGTCTCCCCCACCCAATCATCCACCTGCTGTACGGTATCCCCCCATCTACCCAGACAGTGTTCACTCCTCACACCCCCCAGGACCTGAGTTGCTCCTGGTTAGAGCCTTGGAGCGCCACTGCTTCCCCCCGCCCCCGGCTCATCCACACCATTCCCTAAACACCCTTACCTGACCCACCTGGTTGCTCCCCTCAGCCAACGGGGTTTCCCGGTTTTCTATGCACTTCCAGGGTGACTTCCTGAATACATGTTGAAAAGCCCTGGATTCAGCGCCCTGGGGGAGGGCTGCAGCGGACCAGTGTCCAGTTTCAGATAGAGGGGTGTCCATGGAGCTTGCTGCCAGCACCCCAGCATGGGAATTCCTCTTCCTGTCTCACCCCAGACCCTGGTCAGCTGTGTCTCCGGAAAGGTCAGTCTATTCAGTACTTATTTTTAAAAAAATACTAAGAGGCACAAGATCAATCCCTTTCCCAGAAGGCACATCCTGCAAAGGGGTTGGTGGGTTCTGTAACAAAGCGATACGGACTCCTGAGAAAGAATCCACACTATCACCAGATAATGGAAAGAACTGTAAATCAAACCTAAAAGCTTAAAGAATACAGTTTGCAGATGCCACTTTAGCATCCCCTATACCTGGCAAGTCCAAACTGGAAGATAAATACTTGTGCAAATCAAAGGGAGAGGATAGTAATAACTCACAGCTTAAACTCCATTTTTCTGTCCCACTCTTCTCCCTCCCTTATGCCGCCGCCTTTCCCAGCAGAGACTTGGTGATCATACAGACACAAGAGGGTGCAGGGGACAGGCCAGTCTGCAGGGCCGCATGCATTCTGACCGCTGCAGCACAGCTGGCAAACCACTCCTCAAGGCAGACAAATTTGGACTCAGAAATGTACAGTAAATTGGCATCTTTGGTTTCTTGCTTAGACTCGGAAACACTGCGAGGTTGGCCCCTAAGAGCCACCCGGCCTAAGCCAGATCTCCCCGGGTCATCATTCCACGGGCCGGTGCGCTCTCAATACAAAACTGCTGCAAGGCCCTTGGACGGTGCAGGGCAGCCTGTGCTCGGCACAGTCTCAGAAGTAATTGTGTCCTCCACTCCCTCTTGTACTGCTTCTCACCTGCCCAGAGGAGAGGGGAGGAGAACTGAATATCCATAAATACCAGTTGTTTAGTCTCCTTTTCAACCCACAGTTATTTCGTGTTTCCCCCTTTGGTGGAGGCTTAGGAGACTGTGGTTCTGAGTGTAACTGGAGTGGCTGGGCTGAAAAGCAGCAGAGAGGCACTAAGACCCCACCCCGGGGCCTTCTGCTGAAGCCCGTCGCTCAGAAGGCTGAGGTGGTGGTGGCTCTCTGTGGAGCCCGTCACCAGCAGCAGGCACTTGGCTTTGCAGGGGTCCCTGCAACCCATTTGCATTTACATCCCAGTTTCCAGAGCGGCCATCCAGTTCCTGCTTACCTACAAAGTGCAACTTGTTAGGAAAAGCAAACACAGTTTAAAGTAATTACCAGTGATTTTAGAGGCTGCATTTAGTTTACCTTTATCCTTTCCCCTCCATAGTCTCTCACCACCAAAAAAAAAAAATACTATATGAAACAGCTTCCCAAATTAATGTTTTTCATAAAACACTTTAGAAATAATGATGCCCATCTTATATATGAGAGCATGCTTTCTTCCAAGCAAGCTCCTAAACATCAAAGAAACAGCTTGCATAGGTATGTTTCATTTTGTGCAAATCTTAGTATGATAAGGCTACTTTCAGTATTTAGGTAGTGCTCAGTGAATAAAGTAATCTCTCCGGAAACAAGAAAACTTCCCAGCATTGCACATTCTCTCCAACCACATCTGACTTCCCAGGCGGACAGCCGCGACCAGCAGGCTTGCCTGCACCATGGGGCAGTCCATGTTGGGCAGAACACGAGTCTTGGATGTAAAATGCAAAGGGTCACATGATACCCGCTTACGTGGTGGAGGCAGCGGAAGCTCCATCGCTGCTCTTCCCTGTTACGGAACGGAATCCAAAACACGGGGCGATAGGAACGGCTTTCCTCATGTGCTGTTCATTGAAGAGCCGACATTCTGACATGGGGTACTTCCAGAAACCCCCCTATTTGCTTGGTTTGATCTACGCTGCAAGAAGAGTTGACTCAAAGGGATGGGAGAATAACAACCCAAAATCTGAAGAGGAAAGATTGGGGCAAAGAAAACCTGCCAAAGGAGCAACCAGCTTATGAGACTTACACGATTCTACATATCGTAGGGTGGGAAGACCCAGCTAGAGAGAGAGGAGATGTAGAGAAAATTCCCCTCCCAAAAATCAAGTATTGTCAGGAAATATCAAAGTAGAAATTTTTGTAAGCAGCTTTGCATTTAACATTCAGTCAAGACACTAAACCTTAAAAAAAAACCCTCTATTTAAAAAACGAAAATGCTAACAATAGGAGTCCTCGAAGTCCCCCAGGATCTGGCAGCAGAGAATGGAGTGTTCTTGGGCCAGGGCGGCCAGTTCCTTCAGGAACTCCGGGAAGAGGGCAGCGGCCAGCATGGCGTTCCTCACCGGCAGGGGCAGGCTGGGCGGCACCCCGGCCGCCTTGGCTCTGTTGGTCAGGAAGGGCTGAAGCACTCTTGGTGGACCATCCAAAAGGCTCTTGCCGGTTCCTGTCCTGGAGGCATCCTGAGTGGGATCTGAAACCAGAAAGCAGACGGTCATGGGGACCCTCTGTGCTCCTCCCCATCATTTTCCTAAGTGTGTGTGTGTGAGGGAAGGACGAGGGCGGAGACACGGCCCTGAGCACACGCGTTAGGCCGCTCAGTGGCACACGGATTTTGCTCAGCAGGTGAGCTCCAGCACCAGGCATGCAATATGAGTGTCATCCCAAAGCCCTGGTGCAGAAACTGGGATGAGAATGGAGGTTTCTCAGGAACCCTCCGTGCCCAGGACGTGGCAAGGGAAACACCAAAAAAGGCATCTCCTGCCCTCTGGGTGTCGGGTGGCTGTCCCACCTGTGCCAGCAGAGCCCTGAGCACGTGCACTGCTGCTGGAGGAGGCTGGGCCCCGCACGCCACTCCAAGCACTCGGCAGCTCGTGCTCTGGCCTCGAGGGCTCCGCGGTGACCCCCCAGCCCATTCTGACCGGGACCTCCAGAGCACAGAACGAAAGAAGCCACTGAAAGGTTGGAAATAATGGAGAGGGAGCTGGGCACTGGTGAGACCCGACTGGGCTCTTCCTGTAACTGGACCTCTAGAGGCAGCAAGCGGCTCGGGAGCCGCCCTGCAGAGAAGGCTTCCCGGGGTTGCCATCTCGGTTCCAGTCACGTAGGTCTGAGATGCTGTCAGCCCACACTTGGCCACATTCAGGCAGTTTGCATTTTCATATCTAAGCAGATTCACTAATTAAAATGGTTCAACTTTCCGGACTATTGAATTCCCGGACGTCTCCAGCCTTCATGTACACATAGGAATTACGTATGCCTTCTTCTGCCCCTGCTCCAACAGCCTCATTCCTCCTCATAAATCATTATATTCAAACTCTTCATTATTTTGGCCGCTTTTCAGAATCCAGTCCCATCTTTTAACACTCTTCTCAGAGTGTCGCTTAACTACAGTACTAAAAATTCTTGACATTTATAATACTTTCCATATCTCACTACTATAGCTTTAGTGTTAAAAAAAATCCTCCACTTGACTGCTTTAAATATCCTTTTAGATGAAAGCTCATCACAGTTCGTGCCATAAAGAACTGGAAAAGTTGGTGAGAACCTGTCTGCTGCTACCTTTCTGCAGGAACCCACAACGTGCCCTGACATCAGAGTGAGGACCAAAGTGTTGGCGTCACTGAGGTGCACCCGCCCCCCGCCAGCAGGCCTTTCCCCAGCGGGTCCCTCGAAGCTCACAAAGGAAGCCACCCCAGACCCCCAGGGGAATGGGGCCCGTGGCACCAATCCCAGCCCGGGACCTGCTCTGTTCACGCTGGTCCCCCACACCTCTGCTCACCCACACTGTACCAGCTGAGTAGCATCGGGGGAGTGGCTTTCCTTCTCTGTCCTTTACTGTCCTCATCTGTGAAATGCTCACAGAGTTGCTGTAAGGATTGAATGAGTCGGCAGGTATAACACACAGGAACGTCTTGATAAGTGGCAGCCACATGTCATCAGTTCAGCTGCCACTGACTTCGCATCCCTACCCCCACAGGTAATTCCTTGTTCAGCCTCCCACCCTGTTGCATTTCCCAACCAACGCCTGCATTGCCCTTTGGCCAGTGCTGCTGTTGATGCTTTTCCTCCTCTACTCAACTGAGACTGCTGAGAGCTGAACCCCACACGATGTGTTCATCACGGCCCCAACACACTTCCTGGCTCGTGTAGAAGCTAATAAACATTTGCTGAATGAATGAAAAGAAACTGACCAAAGCCAGTTCTTCCCGTCACCCGATCTCCCGGAGCTGGCTCATATTCCTTAGCTCCATCTTTCTGTTTCAAAGGCACTCCTCTTTTTCCCCCAAAAGGGTTTTTGTGGCTCATTTAGCATGACCCATGAATTTAAAAAGTGTCATTGCTAAGGCTCAGCTCAAATCTGAGATTCAAACCATCTTCACTGGAGAAGGCAGCAGAGCGCACAGGGAGGGCAGCGAGGCCTGTCCTGTCGGCACTGGCCCGGCCTTTCAGCATGTCACAAGGCCTGCCGTGCAGAGCACTCAACCTCGAAAGCACGAAAACCAGAGTCATGCTCCCTGTGTGGCAACCAGCTCATCATATAACTCAGTTTCCTTTTCTGGAAAATGGGACTAACACTACCTCCCCTCCCTCCCAGAACTGCGGAGCAGGGGCAGGACTCTGAGATGCAAGTAGACACAGCCTGTGGGATGCAGAAAGTGTTCAAGGGCAAATGAAAAGCCTGGCCAGTGGCTCAGCCTCAGAGACAACATGACCTGGTCACTGGCACAGGAAGTCCACCGGCTCTGGAGCAGCGATCACGCAGCCTCTTGCGTCTGTCACAGTGAGTGAGGCTCCGTCTGCGGGTGCCCGGCCACGCCGCTCACCCAGGGCCTAGTGCACGTAAGCCCCTTGTCAGAGGGCCAGGAGAAAGGGAAGCACAAGTCCATGTCTGGTGGTTTTCTGAAACGATATCCAGGGTCTGAAAAGCTGCAACAGCGTTTTCCAGACTAATGCTGGACAGATTTCAGAAGGCAGGGGAGACATTACACGCTCCTCTCCCTGTCAGGAGCTCTAGACAAGCCCAGAGCACACAGATGCTAGAAACCCCAATCATTCTTAAGTATAAATTGTTCTGTGTCCCCGAGATAATGGGGCTTCTAGATTCGACTCATTTATAGGCAGTCACCTCACACCCAGGGCCTCAAAAGCCAATCTGGCACAAGGGCACAGGAACCACGCTCTCCTGTGAGTCTGGACTTTTTTCAGGTTGAAGGGAGGGAGTCACTCTGCTAACCTGACGGATGTTAGGAAGTTGATGTGAAGAGAGTCCACACGAGGAACGTCGTCCATCCCAAGAGAAGCCCTGCAAGTCAAAGTCCCCAGAGCGCCACAGACCCTCAGAAGCATCAGCCACAGGTGGCTAACTTGACAACCTCTGTGGTAGGAATGAGTTCTCCTGGGACCCTGCTTGGCAGCCATGGCCATCAAGCAGTCAGCAACCCTGCCATCCCTCCCCAGCACAGGGACCTTTCATCAAGGAAAACCCAAAGTCAATGGGTGCTGGGCCTTGTGACCCAGGCAGGACAGTCTCGGGCCGTGTGGTCTCACCTGACCACTCTGGGCCCCTGATGTCGGCTTCCTGATATGAAAATGAACTTAATGGTTCATATCATTAAGTGATATGAACCATTCTTGCCCATTGTGCGGGCTGTTTGAAAATTGACCATCTGGGAAAGCAGTTTACAAATTGTAAAGTACAAGTGAAGACCAAGCCTGGGGTGCAAAGTAATAAAACTGAAGTCACCTCCCATCTGGTGGGCCGCAAAAAGACATGGGGGGTTTGCTGCCTTCTCAAACCTGGGCAGGCCCAGGGACTTGCTTTTGCCCGCAGAAGGCAGCAGAATTACAGAGCCTCCAAAGAGTTTGTATGTTCCTGCTCTCAATCTGCAACCCTGTGACAGTGGTGTTGCCAAGCAGCGTTAACTCGCTGGATGGTATGAAACCAGCCCCCCATCACCTGTCACCCTACCCAGCAGCCACTGATATGACTGGGGCCATCCCGGACACCCAGCCACCAGCTGAAAGTAACATATGAGCCAAAATCAGCTGAGCCTGGCCAGGATCAGAACACCCAGGCAGCTACAGACTCACGAGTCCTCACCAATGGCCGTCCATACACCACCATTGGTGCCGTGGTCTATCATACACAGAAGCTGACTGACTGATACACCCTCTCCCACAGGGTGAGTTATGCAACACACTCCCTGTTCAGGAGGAGCACAGCTAACATGCCCGCTGTCCAAGTGGCTAGAGAGGCCACGTGGACCTATCGTTCACCTTCCCACGAAGATGTGGGGTTCCTGGCCTCCATGAATGGCCTGGCCTGCTCCCCTCCAGGGCCCAGGCTAGAAGCACCATGCCCCCCCCCACATACCCCTACAAGGCCTATCTTGCCTGCAAAATCCGCCTTGCGGTGCCCTAAAGGCCCTTCACACCCAGAGTTCTACGGCCAGAGAGGACTTCAGAGATGGAAAACAAGTCCTTTAAGAGTCAAGGCACCTGAGGCCCCACGAGGCAATGACTAAGAACAAACAGCTACACAAAGGCAAAGGCAAAGTCAAGTCTTCTGAGTCCTGGGACCTCTTCAGATTCCTTTAAGTGTGTAACCATTGACCCAGGTTACATTTTGGGCTCTCAAGCCAGTTTCTGTCACATGCCTTCGGCTCAGCACTGAGAGCCCCACTCCTGCCATTGGTCACCTGCCCCAAAGAAGCCTCACTTGTCTTGAGATGAGCAAACGCTGGTGCAGGAGGGAGCATTTCCTGGTTTGCAGTCACCAAGGCCAAGGTCATAGCTCAGAGGACAAGTGGCCATTCACTCTGTTCACACTGAGCATAAACGAAGCCAAGCAGCACTGTGCACCCTGCCCCTCCCAGGCCTGCAGGACCATGCTCAGCTCCCTGTGCAGTGCCCTCCCCACCCACCTCGCCAGGGCTGGGCAAGCACTTCTTGAGTTTTTGAAAAGTCGTTCAGGAATTTTAAGCTGAGCATACCCTTCACTTCTCCCAGTCCTAATGAGCAGGTCTTACTTTCTTGAGCTGTAAAGCATGTGTATTTTGGGCCCAAAAGTCTGAAAACATGAGGAAGAGAACGGACACCCTCCTCAAGGCAGAGCTGGCCCAGAAACGGCTCAGGCTGTGCACAGAACACCTCCTTGTGACCCTCGGGTGCCGAGTCATTTCTTCCAGCCTGGCAGCCACGCGCACATCACTCTGTTCCTGACACTCTCAGAAGACAGTGGCCCAGACCCTTCAAGTGAGGGCAGGCTGGGCGGGGGCAGGGCACACCTTTCTTTAGGCTCATGCACACCAACAGGAGGCTCCTCGCTGCTGGGTTACAAAGAAAAGATACTGAATATATAGATACTTTTAGAGCCCAGGAGCCTATGCAGCATCTTTGAACCCAAACGAGGAGGCAGGTGAGGGAGACGCGCAGGTGAGAAACCCGGCTCACCTTTGGTGAGTGACTCTGGTGTCACATCGGACATGTCCACTCGGAAGAGCAGGTATTTCTGGGCTTGTATGAGGAGTCCTGGGAAGTCTCTCTCCACAGAAGCAAACTGTTCAATCTTGTTTTTCACAGACGCTAGGACCTGTCAGAAACAACACAAATGATGATGCTCCAAGCAGAATTCCACCTTCAGCTCTCAGTGTATCTTTCTGGTACAGCCCCGCCTTGCAGGAACTATTAGATTAGGCATTCGCTCATTTTTAACTGTCGGGGTGTGTTGCTGGGGCACTGTTGAAGCATCAAACTAAATGAAGCTTTGCAGTTTGTCTGGAATAATCTACACACAACTAGCGACATGGGATGAGAAAGGAGAGCAAATGAATTAGAGGAATTTTCAAAAACAACAGAGTAACTGGGGAAGAGGAGGAGGAGCCCGGCTCATCAGCACCCCTAAAATCCACAGGGAAGGAGGGCGAGGGCTCGGCTCACGCACCTGATACAGAGAGCGGACACTGGGCTGGAAGACCATGTTGGTGTTGAGCAGGAAGGAGCGCAGCAGGGGCTGGGGGTAGCTGGCCAGCTGCGTGATGATCCCGATGAGCAGCAAGTTCACGTGCAAAGAGTTCTCCAGCATGTTCTCCAGCTTGGACAGCACCACACTGATGAAGGGGCCTGCAGGAGGAACGCCAGGCGTCGGAGCTGGCCGGGCCCCGGGCCCCAGCTCCCTCACCTCCGCCCCAGCAGGTGCGAATCACACCCACACCCGGGAGTGGTGCCCTGTCTTCTCCTGCCCCAAACCAAACATGAAACAAACCACCGCAGCACAGAGGAAGCAGACAGATGTGCACGGGAGCAGATGCTCTGGCTCCAGGAGCAGCTTTAACACTTGGAAAATTCTCATAGACCCGGATGGTTCAGTTCGTAAAATTAAAATACTTTCCCTGTCTCTGTACTTCTCGGTGCTTCCAGTGCCCAAACCATGCCACACTCAGCTCATTCCCCAGTGTCCTGGGCATTCCCCACGCACAGAAGATACAGGCCATCAAAGGTCCGGGTGACAAAGACTTTCTGTGTTAGTAACGAGTGCCCCACGCGTGAACCGTGCCTATCAAACAGTAACACTGTGAGCGGGGACACTGTGTCTGTCCCCAACAAGCACTGTGGGAAAGGCTGTCTTGTCGAATGTCACCATGCAGAAGGACAGGGAGGGACAGGCATGGGTTAATGAGGCTGGGCTGTCATCTGAACGACCCTGAGCAACTTGGTGACCACACTTCAATTTTCAGGTGGGAGGAGGGGAGAGAAGGGACTTGGTCTGGGGGGCGAGAGTTTGGTAGGTCACAGTTCCCCTAAAAAAGAAAATCCAGATTTCATTTTTTTATTTAAAAAATTAAGAAAAAAAGAGCTTCAACCAATTTGGGTCACCAGAAAGTTAATATGCTTTATATCTGAGTTCATTGAAGACGGGAAAAAATCAAGAAAGTCAATCTGGCATTAATGAAATTACTGGAAGATGTGTTCTGTTTTTACCATAAAAGTGGTCCATTAAGCAAATTAGTGAGGACCTTGTCTTTCCCCCAGTGGAGCTGGGATGAGTCATCAGGCCGTAGCATATTTATAACTCAGCGCGGATCCCTTGACGGGTAAACTCGCCTGATGAGGACGTCACCGACACTAACAGGAGTTTATCAGAAACATACTTAATCACAAGAGGCTGCATTCAGAATCCTTGGTAGTGAGACATGGAACACCAGACAGAAACCTCTCACCAGGGAGGTGACAGGTAATGGCAACAGTCCTGTTGCCAGGAGCACAATGCATGTCTCTGAGGGGCCTCGAAACACAGGAAAGGCACATCATGTGCCAAACTTGGCCTCCACAGTCCCTTCCTCAGGATGGGGGTCTGAGCTCCCCCGTCACACTCCGTGACCCGGCAGGTCAAGGCTCCCGGCACAGAGAGCCTCTGGAGAGACCCTGCTTGCAAAACAACACAGCAGCGTTTGCCGAACATATTCAGAAACGCTGGCCTGGAACCTCAGTTTGAAAGCAACTTGACCGGTTTCCATCAAGAACCCCAGGAATGTCACCAGTAACTCATGTTGAGGCGTCACAGTGCAGTTCTAGCTTTCCAGGAAGATCCGCAAGAAGGCTGCCGTCCTCACCCTCCAGAACCCAACCCAGCCCCACCCCAGACTGCACGGGGCCTCCTCTGGCCATCCCACAACGTGACGGTTGCTGCCCATGCTGTGGCCAGCAGAGGCCATCTCTAGTCCGTCCCTTCTACAAGGGCAGAAAGCAAGCCCATCTCACCCACACCTGTGCAGAGTGCCATCACTGTCCCACCTGAACGATAGAATATTAGGTCGAGACCGGAAGACTGCCATTATGACCCAATAATGGCATTGATTACAACTTCTTAGCCATGTGCAATGAGAAATCTATATACTAAACCCTTGAAAATTCCCATTTTATACTTGGTTGATTTCTACTACTTAAAGAGAAAACTACTACTACATAGCAAAAAGCAGTTGCTAACCCTGGCTGGTGTGGCTCACTTGGTTGGGGCATCAATCCGTAGATTCGAGGGTTCGATTCCCAACAGGGCATACGCCTGGGTTGTGGGTTTGGATCCCAGTCGGGGTGTATTCAAGAGGCAACTGATGTATGTCTCTCTCTCACCTCAGTGTCCCCCCCACCCCAATCTAAAATTGATGAGCATGACCTCAGGTAAGGATTTAAAAAAAAAACAGTTGCTAGGGAAACCAGTAAGCAGCTGAAAATCAGAAAACTCAGCTGCGATTCAGAAAGTCACAGGTGCGTATGGAGAATGGTGAGTAGCTTTTTCCCTCTCCTAGGAGGTCAGATGAACTCCACAGCCTGAAAATAGTTCATTTTTCAGAACTGAGATACTCTCTCACTGCCCCTCCCCGGCATCCACCTTCCTCTCCTCCAGGCCCCCTCCCCGCCCACACTTCCTGACTCGGGAGCAGAGCCGCCATCAATTCTGCACTCGGCTCTGCCAGTTGCAGGTTGGAAGTCGCTCCGAGAGCCGTCCTTCACCTCCACCCCCTGCCGGCACCGCCCAAGGTCACGGTCTCATCATCTCTTGTCTGGACTTCAATGGTAGTTTTTCTGTTTTAATGGAGATGTAAATGATTTTAATTTTTTCCTTCAAACAGTATAGTAGTATAAAATAAACATCCGGTCTCCACACTGGAAGCAATTCTTCTTAACAGATTCTAGTGTGTTCCTCCAGAAACGTTTTATGTGCATAATTAAATAATAACTGAATTATTATTAAAAAGCATTTATCAACCACTTATGCGCCAGGCAATAAATATACTAAGCACCTAATCTTGTATCATCTTAAACACTCACAACTCTGTGAAGTATGTTTATTACTTTTCCCCACTCAAAGATGAGGCAAAAGGCCGAGCGCACACAGCTAGTAACTGCAAGAGCCCCGGTCTTAACTCAGGTCATCTTGTTCCAGTGCCTGTACTTTCAACCAGCACATTGTCGTGCCTCTCAGGAGTGTGCGACCGTGCGTGTGTCTTTCTGTCTGTCTGTATCTCCTGGCATGTTTTTAAATGATGACATTCTCTATGCATGGCTCTGCACCTTGCTCTTCCACGAACAACATGTCCTAGAGACTGTCCCTCATGAGCACGTACAGAGCTCTTGCATTCACCTCAGGGCCACAAAGTACCCCATGGCCATGGGAGTCGATTTAGCAAAACAGTCTCCTACTGGGAGGCAGTTGTTGCCAGCCTTTTCCCGTTGTAAACAGTGCTGCAGCGAACATCTCTGAGGATACATCTTGACACACAGGGTGAAATGGAACTGTTCCTGGAAGCAGAATTCCCAGGCCCCGGCCCTGGGGCATTCTAACCTCCGCTGGATGACAGAGAGTCCTGTCCCCGCCCTGTCCCTCCGCAGCACTCCCCCTGCCTCCCCAAGCCTGGCCTTTTCACACATGGACCCAGTCACACCCCTACTCGCTTCCTCCTGCCCACACAGCCGTGCACTCCCTGGCTCCGCCCACTGTCCGCGTGGCTCCTTGGTGCAGCCTTCCCTACACCCTGCCCTGGGCCCCCACAGAACTGGGCATTCAGTGACGACGGCATCTCTCACTGAGAGAGTGCAATTCTTTATGGATAACTCCTGTGAAAGTTTGCAGACACCTCCATTTCTGTGTCTTTAGTGCCTGCCCTAGAACCTAACAACGAGAGGTTGCTAATAAAATCAATTAGATCAATGAAATGGGATGCTTCGCTTTTGCTGAGGCAAACTCATTGCAGCGGAATCCGGGATCCCTGAGCAGGTGGAGGTAAAGCCTAATGCTGCGGAATGCACTTGGAAGTTTGGAAGCTACAAAGTTCCCGAACGTGAAGAGTCAAGATGCTTCCTGAAGCATCTGTGTGCAAGTTTCAAAGGGGAAAAAGGCAAGTGCAAGTGGAAATTACCTCCACGCATCAGAAAACTCCCACTGTTTTGTTGGCTCTCAGGTGTATCATAGGCAAAATACTGATGTTACTTAATAAGGTATTGTATTAGCTTTTTTTTGGCCCTAAGCTATATTTTGTTTCCTTGATTTACATATTTCTCAGGGATGAAGCTTCTTTATAAGGAAGCTGGCGTCTAAGGAAGGACGGTCATCAGCCAGGAGCCCTGAGGCTCCGGAGAACAGGGCAGACTTCAGGCAACATGGCCTGTGCAGGTTACTTCTGCCCCGGCCCTTCCACTGAGCTCCCTCCTTCCTGTGGCCTCCCCCGGGCCCCCATCAACTGGGAAAATTGAGATTGTTTATTCCTTTTCACTTATGACTGACTGATTGAATTTTAATTAAAACTCATTCGCACTGAAATGTTATCTCAACTAGAACCTCCGGCCTTTTAATTATGGAATTAAAAGCTTCCTCCTGGTTTAAGTAGATTTTTAGGCACCAGTAAATAGATGAATAAATATCGAAGGAAGGTGGAATTGCTCCTTGAACTCACAGTGAGCCCACCTGGCTGGGCCGGAAGGACTCCCTTGACCTGGGCTGACTCGGGGAGGAGGGAGCACGTTCTCTCCTGTGCAGGGAGGGACGAGCCCCAGCCGAGGCCGCTGGTGCTGCCTGGGATCATACTCATGATGCCCCAGTATGACATTCAGTCCTCACAGGGGAGAAGCGAGGGTCAGGGACACGGAGGGCCAGGGACTCCAAGGCCAGCGTCTGTCCCTCTGTGATGCCAGCTCCTTGAGGGACCTCCCTGTACTACCTGAACACCACTCGGGGGCCCCGCCCGGCCACCCCTGAGCTGGAAGCCTGCTCTGTGCCAGGCCCCTGGGCGTCGTGATCTGCAGACTCAGATTTTGCTGGCCGGTATCTCACGCCATTCTGTATCCTGGCCCCCACCCCAGTGCCCTCGTCTGACCTCCAGCCCCGTCCCCTGGCCTCCATGAGGATGCGTGCCTGCTCTGAGGGGTGTGTTGCCCATTCTTTGTACTAGGGTTACTCATCCACGGGTCTTCCGTACGTATTTGTGGAGGAAGATTTTGTGATGATCTGAAATGAGCTCCAGGCAAAGGCCTGACTAACCCAGGGGCCTCCGGTGCGTGCGCAGCAGGAACTCAGCGCCTCCCTGAGCTCTGGTCGCCGCCCAGGCGCTGGGGATGCAGCTGAGAGCAAGCCAGCACCTGGGCACACCTTCTAGTGTGTGTGTGTGGGGGGGGGGGGGTACTTTAAAAATACAAATAAAATAAATGCTAAGGAGGAAACAAACAGACTAAAGGAAAGGAGGCTATTAAATAAGGAGCCTGGTTTTCTCGTGTGGTCTCATCGGGCCTGTCACTTTATCACGGGTGCAGCACAGGAAGCTGCCCAGCAGTAAAACGCAACCTCCAACTTGCTGGTGCGGGAAAACAGCCACCACTGCCAGGAACGACAGAACAAAATAAAAATGAAGTCACCCCTCTCCACTCTTCACAAAAAATACTCTCACGCCTCTGCCAGGCCAACGGCCGACGCTCTTCACCTCCACCCACCTTCCTCTCCCGCTGTCATGGGCACGAGCACTTGCAAAAGCAGAAATCACAAAGCGAGCTAAGGCGGTCACCTGTGAACGGGATGCTCTGAGTCCTCGCGGGACGGTGACCGGCACAGGCAGTCTCCTCTCTCACCCCGAATGGGGACGGCACGGCCTCTGTGGCAGGGGCGTCCGCTATAAAAGAGTCGAAGTCGTCCTCCTCCTCCTCCTCTTCCAGTTCCCTCTTTCCCTCCTCCTCCTCCTCCTGTTCGCCTCTGCTGTCTTCCTTCCCCTCTTGCTCATTTGTGAGGAGCGAGGGATCAGGGGAGGAGAAGTTCTGTCCCATCAAGCCCTCGGTGCTGGAATCCAGTTCCTTAATGATTTGGTCATACTGGGCAATGAAGTCTTCACCCTCGGGGTCCGTCATCATCAGGTCCGAACTGTGCCCTGCCTCAGACATAGGGGGTGCTGGCTCTGCCGGTGGTTCTGGGGCTCCTTCAGGGTCCCGCTCCTGCTGCGGTTCCTGGGACACGTTGGGAAACATGTCTGCGCTGTCCCTGCTGGGTTCCTCCTCTGAATCTGATTCTGGCTGAGGGCTGGGCAGGGGGCCGTTGTTCAGTGGGGGGCTCTGAACCTCGGCCTGGCCTCGGGCCGGGGGCCTCGAAGGTTCCTCCTGTGAACTTGTGGCGTCCTCCGAGTCCTTCTCCGCACACAGCCGGTACACCATCACGTCGTCCTGAAAGTCTGACTCTTCGATGTAGGTCCCTTTGAAGCGGAGGATGGCGTTCTTCTTCATCTCCTGGATGTGCTTGGGGGGCTCCATCGGCATCGGCTGGCCAGAGCCCTCCAGATCGTCGTAGGGCCCCGGAGAGCCCGCGTCCGCCCCGGAGGAGATCCCAGTGTCGTAGCTGTCGTCCCACTCCAGGTCCGTCTGGCTCTTGTCCCTCCTCGGAGCCTCCAGCATGGGCCCCGTCCTCCGGGGCGGCTGCTGCGGGAGCCTGCACTCGGGGGAGGTGGGGCCGGGAGCGCTGTCCTCTGTCAGAGTCTGCAGGAACGTCTCCGCGTCAGGTGAGTCCCCGTCGTAGAGTGCGGACCAGGCACGGCAGTCCCGCATGCACTGGAGAATGTTGGCGTGGGCCTCCCAGAGGTACTGCAGGTAGCTGATGTCCAGGGCTTTGCCGCACTCCACGATGCAGGCCGACGGCGGGGATGCTTCAGGGCACAGCTGCTCCAGGGGCCCTGCGGCGGGAGGCAAAGACAGGTCAGGACCAACGAGCCCCTTCTGCCACTTCAGAGAGGGGTGGGGACCAAGGCAGCAGCGGGACGAGGCTCAGCAGGCTGCCGAGACCTCTTCTCACGGGCTGTCATGGTTCTGGGCATTTCTGATTAAACGACTTCTGAATAATAAAAGTGCGTAGGTTTTAAGAAGGAAAGATGAGAACAGAAAGCCTGCCCTCACCGGAGATACAGAACTGCTATGGCCCGTGGGAGACCGCTGCCTGCAACACAAAGCTGTGATCGGAGGGTGGCCTCAGGGAAATAAGATGTAACAATGGCAGCCTCAGGTAACACATCAGGTCCAGTGCCTGCCACAAAGTAGGTAACAGTTTCAAAGATTTCGACTCTTAAGTGGAAGGCCTGTAATCCATGAATTTGGGGAACGAATCTTCTCTAGAAAACCTGGGGTTTTCAGAAAAGCCTGTTGAGTCCTTCTCCCTTCCTGGGAACCATTGGGAGGCTGGTAAGAACCAAATGGTCTCTTAGCATAAAGCCCTATTCAAATAGTCTTTTTCGCCTAAGAATGTTTCAAGTGTTATCAAGTTCTCAACTGCATAACTGAAAAAAAAAAAAAAAAAGGACTCAAACAAGGAAAATACATAATCTATGGTTTTCTCAAACCTCTACCACGTGGCCGGTCCTTTGTCAGTGCTATCGGACTTAATCCTTACAGCAACCTACATGGCAGGTACTATTTTCTCCATTTACAGATGAAGAAATTAGCCCTGGCTGGTGTGGGTCGGTGAAATGAGTGCTGGCCCGCGAACCAAAGGGTCACCAGTTCAATTCCCGGTCACGGCACGTGCCTGGGCTGCAGGCCAGGTCCCCAGTAGGGGGCGTGTGAGAGGCAGCCACGCACTGATGTTTCTCCCCCTCTCTCCCTCCCTTCCTCTCTGTCTAAAAATAAATAAAGTAAAAAAATAACTATTGGAATTTCATAAATAACTACTGGGTACGAACATGTAAGAAAGCCATACCAGTTTAAATAACAGGCCAATATATTTAAAACCCAGTTTATTATTCTGCAACAAAAATTATTCATCTTCATGAAAACACTGTATCTTTGAAGACCAAGAACCAGTAAGACAACCCTACTTTCTATAAAGTACGTTCATACTGAATGTGCTGGCACTGTCCTAACCAAGCAGCCTGGTGCAGTCTACCAGAAGCCCACCCAGGTGCACAGAGTGACACTGGGGGGGGGGGGGGGGGGGGGGCCAGAACGCAGATTGGAACCCCTGAGTCATCACCAGGACCTGGCCATTTCCCAGCGGCCACAGGACAGGCAGGATCTCTCTGAACTCAAACAGCCCTCTGACCTCCAGACACACGCAAACGCCCCGAGGCAGCTGCCTGCCGAGAGCCGGGGCTGACATGGGTGAACGTTCCCATTTTACTTGTCAGGATCAAGTGCGGCTGGCCAACTGCAGCCCACGCTCTAACTCCTGCAGAAACAGAGCATTTGTGAAACACCCTCACTGGGCCAAGCAAATGAATCCAACACCATCGCCATATGCAAATTTCAAGTTTTATGATGATACATTATTGACAGGCAAGTCTCCACACACAGGCGATTGTGGAAGTTAAAATAAGGGCTGACTCTCTCTCTGCTACAGCCATCTCCACCACCTCACCCCTGGTTCGTTTGGGAAGATGGCCCGGCACCTCCGCATTGGACTCTGAGGGCGACACTGGAAATCCTCGATAAAATAAAGGTCCTGGGAACCTGGACTGGATGAGAGCTGGGCACGAAGACAAACACTGACCACCAAGTGTCCGTAACTCCTCACAATGGGGAAAAGGATCCCCAGTAGCTGTTCATAAAAGCAACGGAACTCACTGCCTCGGTCCCTGTCTTCTCAAAGACACGCACCCCCCAAGGAGGGGCAGAATCAGGCATCCTTCTGTTGAAAGCTCAGCACCAGTGAGTTCCTACCTGAACTACTGTGTGCACACTTCGACCAGAGAATATAGTCCCTCTCTTGGTTCCCGAGCGTCAGGGTGATCCCGCTGGAGCAGCAGACCGGGGTCAGGGCAAGCAGCTTGGCCGCAGAGACGGAGTAACAGTCTCGCTCCTTCACAGCCCACCTCTGACTCAGCATCATGTGATTGCAGGGGACCAGATACCTGGAATGACAAAAAGGGCTGCCTTCAGTCTCCGCAAAGGCCGCTCCCAGTCGGCCACCTCCCGAGCCATACTGGGGACTTGCTGTGGCCAGGGGTGCTCTGCCTACTCTCAACCCACCCATGCCTCCAGGGTTCACTGACTTGCCTGAAATCTTTAGAGGGCATCTTTCCTCTGACAACAAACCATTGTGGAGAGCTCACGATTTCAGCTCCGTGAACCTCCTCATCTCTTAATAAATCTGCTGTCCTTCTTCACCTCGGTGCCTCTGCACCCACTACAGCCTTTGCCTGGAAGCTGCTTTCCCCTTTCCCAGCCTGACAAATGTCACAAGACTCCAGCGTCAGTGTCACCTCCTCCAGGAAGGCCTCCGGGCCTCCTGCTCCAAGATAGAGCTACTCGCTCCCTCCACTACGCTCACAGACCCCCACAAGAGCACTATTTATTACTTAGTCTTGTTTCAGCGTTTGCCTCCTCAATACAATGTACTCTCAGAGCAAGGACCTCCTTCAACGGTTCTGAAATGTCACCCCAGGAGCTCCGACTCCCGGTGGGCACCAAAGGACAGCAGAACCGCGGCACAGTGTGAACCTCCTCTCACAGTCTCCTGAGTGACTGTGAGAAAATATGGGGGCCAAAGACTCGCCAAGGGACCCTGGGCCCCATTTCACACATAGCGCTTTGGGTTGGTCATCAAAATCATCTTAGAGTCATTATGACCGTGAAGACGAGAAAACCTGGGCAATCATTTCTGACTCATTCGGAACACACTGTGGGCTTCATGGGGAGAAGAAAGTCCGTAAATGGCTTACTTTCTTTTTTTTTTTTTTATCCACACTTGGGGACATTTTTTTCATTGCTTTTTTAGAGGGAGAGGAAGGGAGAGAAAGAAACATCAGTGAGAGAGAGAAACCTCAATCGACTCCCTTCTTGTACGTGCCAGGGCCGGGCTGCGTTCCCACCGGTGGGAGAAGCCCTCTCCCCCCTGCATCCTTCAGAGTCGCCACCATGTCTGTGGAGAGGACCTTGTGGAACGAGCTCCTTCATCTTCTACTGGCAGCAGCCATTCCACCTCCAGCAGGGCTCAGGTGCAAGTCCCCAAAGCCAGGGCAAGAATGAGAACAGACCCACCCCCTTTCCCACACGGCCCCCCTTCAGCTCCCCTGTTCACCCTCGTGGCCCCTGACTGTCATGAAACCGGACTGATGAAAGCTGATGCGCCCATGCCAGGCAGCGGGGCGTGTCTGGACCTCAGCGACCGCAGCGCAGGCCTCCAGGGTGTGTCCACCCAGGGCTGCGGGGAAGGCCACCAGGGTGGAGTTCTTGGTTGTTCTGGGGAACAGAAGGTTAAGTGGAAACCCTGTCATTTCACACCTTGAAGGTTATTAAGATGTGTGGTGGGAAGTATCGTGAAGAGAATTAAATCTTTATTCCTCCTTGACTCGGGCTCCGGCAGTGGGTCGGTCATCAGCACGAACACAGGTTTTCCTCACTTGGATGAACAGATGTGGCAGATGGCTTAGTACCTGTAGTGCTCAAGACACACCCGGAAAGTGGTACGCTGTATCTTTCCCACGGACTTTTTAATCACAGCCTGCTCCCCCTGCACTGCCGCTTCCTCGACAAAGAGCAAAAGGAAAGCATTCTGGTCGGTTGAGATTGTGGTTGCTCCCATTAGCGCAGGCTCCTCTGGAACTGACCCCTGCTCACTAATGGGACGCTTGGCTCTGGCTGTGGGGCCTCCATCACCGCTGTTCCATCCTTGTTAAACAGCACCGTCTTTCTCCCTGTCATGAAAGTGAGCCATTTATGCCTCAGCTGGTGTGGCTCAGTTGGTTGGAATGTTATCCCGTCAGTGGAAAAGTTGCGGTTCGATCCCAAGTCAGAGTGAATATTCAGATTGCAGGTGGGAACCCAGGTGGCCTTCCCCGCAGCCCTGGGTGGACACACCCTGGAAGCCAGAGCTGCGGTCCAGACACGCCCCACCGCCTGGCATGGGCGCGTCCACTTTCATCAGTCCAGTTTCATGACAGTCAGGGGCCACGAGGGTGAACAGGGGAGCTGAAGGGGGTCCGTGTGGGAAAGGGGGTGGGTCTGTTCTAATTCTTACCCTGGCTTTGGGGACTTGTACCTGAGTCCTGCTGGAGGTGGAATGGCTGCTGCCAGTAGAAGATGAAAGAACTCATTCCACAAAACCCTCTCTGTGCAGAGACATGGTGGTGACTCTGAAGGATGCAGGGGAGAGAGGGCTTCTCCCACCGGTGGGAACACAGCCCAGCCCTGGCCCCACGGGCCCAAGGGAAGACAGTGCCGCTCCAGCGCCTCAGCACCCTGGCTCCTAGGAGCGGGGAGGGCCCAGCCAGGACAGAGAAGAGGCAGCACCAACCACAGTAGCCTCAGGCAGGGAGGCGACCGCAGCAGAGGCTGCGGTGGCAACTGGTGGAGACACACTTGTTCGTGAATGACCCCCTCCCTCACAACCTGCAGAAGTCATGGCTGCTGCTTTGCAGGGGCCAAGGTCATCGCTGAGGGGCAAAAGTGAGCCAGGGAAACCTATCCTGTGGTTGTTGATGAGAACTCTCCCATTCTTATAGGCTGATGAGGCCTAGGAAAATTCAGATTACACAGCCTTTATAGTGTCCTTAGTCTCATCATTAATTATTCAAGAATAAACTGCCTCAAAGCTTGTACCTGCTGCAGGAACTCAATGACTACTTACAGCTCAAACCAAGCATAATTCATGACTTAAGCTGATATAGCCATAGATTTCTACTCTTTGTTTGAAATATTTTTTTAAAATGGCACACTGGATCAAACCTAATAAAACTATTTGTCAAATATCACCAGTGGGTAGCTTGAAATTATGTCAGAATAAAGAGGTATTGGGAATTTGCAACTTTGCAAATACATGCTTTCAGTGGAAACTATGAATTTTCCTCTGAGGAAATCAAATGAAGGGAGACTCCCCATATGTTAAAGGAGAGGCTCAGCTGTGGTGGGAGCAAGGGAGTCCGTCCAAATGAATCAGCCCCTTGCAGCCCATGCAGTTTCTCTGCTGCGTCTTTGTAATGAATTAGGCTTGTCCTGCAGGGGAGATGGGAAAACATGCACTGACCTGCTGCCTTTCCCTCGCTGATGGAGGAAGATAGAAAGCAAAACAAAGGCTCACTGCAGCCTCATTTCCAACAGCCGAGCTGTGAGAGCGACCTCGGTGGGCACCAGTGGGTAGCGCGTGAAGGAGCCGAGACCACTACGCAGCTGCAAAACAGAATGCTCTCCTGCCACGTGTAACAGCGTGGGGGGGACCAAGGGGGTCCATCCCCCTGGTGCAGCGAATTAATGCAGACGGAGATATGAGTACCGTACAACCTCACTTGTTCGATTTTTTAAAGAATGAAAACAAATGAACAAGCAAAACAAATTTGTAGAAACAGAGAACCCCTCTGGATGGTCGCCAGAGGGGAGAGTCTCATGGGGACAGGTGAAAAGGTGACAGGCGGTTGCCAGTGTGGTCACCACAGCACAGACACATAGATGTATAATAGTCACTAGGTTGTACACCTGAAACACGTATAATGTTATATGGCAGCTACACTTTCACTTTAAAAAGGAATCAGAGCAAATGTCAGAAGCTCCTTAAATGTCAAATATCAGAATGCGGTGGCTGTCAATAGCAGAAAAATCTCTTAGGAACTGGTGTATTTGACATCAAACTATCTTTTTGTTTTTACTACATTTTGTTTGGGGATTTTATTTAAATTCATAAAGTGGTAAATATCTCAAAGGAGTAAATATCTAATTGTAGGAGTCCAGATTACTCAAAGCCGCACCGCAACATCACAGGAAAAACAAAATACTCTCCCCTTTCTCCTCCCCCTTCTCATTATTTCCCTAACTCTCTGCAACCCAGACTCTAGTTTCTATTTTCCTGGATGTCATTCATTACAATAAAGCATCAGCGGTGACAACCGGTCAATAACAAGGCATACTTATTGCCGACCGCTGCACTGGCAAAGAAACCAGCAAAACGAAGCAGTGAAGAGCGAAGGTGTGAGCCAGGTCCCTCACAAGAGCTGATGAAAACCTGAATAACCGCCACTAGGCACAGTCCTAAAACACAATGTCAGTGAATTTCCAAAGGGTCGTCTGGATTTCAGAGATGGTGTGGGCATATTTCTCCTATTCGGCTCACCCCAGGCTGGCCGGATGGCTGGCTTTTCTGCTCTCCTTCACCTCCTCCCATGCTAGAGGGAGATGTTCCTGAGGGGTCCACACAGGTTTTATGAGCAAAACAGCCTCTATCTGCAGGCAACGGGCATTGCAGTTCATAAAGCTGATGATGGACCCACACTTCTGAAAGAAACACCCTAACCAGAATATGCATAAACAGCACTCTGAGCACTAAGCAATTAAATCTTCCCCAAACTGGGAAGCACCAGGCACAGGGGGTGATCTGTCACTTCCCTGCTTGTCAGCATTTCCTGCCTGCCTTTGGTCTATCGTATGTCACTCCCATGGAGATGCACAACTTCTCCTTGGTTTCCCGCTCACTAAAATAGCCTCTCTTTGGGGAGAATCTCATTTCAACTTATTTATCTGATATTTTTCTAAATGAATGAACCATACCAGTTGCAAATGGATTATCACTTGGAGATGTCAATATTTAAGAGTATTTGGAAGGCCTGGCTGGTATAGCTCAGTGGATTGAGCATGGGCCTGTGAAGCAAAGGGTCGCTGGTTCGATTCCCATCAGGGCACATGCCTGGGTTGCAGGCCAGGTCCCCAGTAGGGAACACATGAGAGGCAACCACACACTGATGTTTCTTTCCCACTTTCTCCTTCCCTTACCCTCTTTCTAAAAATAAATAAATAAATAAATAAATAAAAATTTTTAAAAAGAGTATTTGGGTTGCAACAAAAACTGGTGTATAGCTATTAGTTATTTATCACATACCAGCTCCATGAAAAGGATTCACATATTCTTCACTACTCTGTTGCCTCCCAGTTCTACAAATTTATCACGTACATTCGAGTGACGACACTGGCAACAACGAAGGGATGAATTACACATCTATTTTTTTATGTTCCTTAAGATAAAGTTTAAATAAATAAAAGGATAAGGGTTTTTCATTGTTGTTGCTTTTTGTACAGATTCTAAATCAGAAGAGACACTGTTTTCATTTGTTTAAAATGTATTTTCTAGAAAATTCTGCTCCCTTAAATTTGTGTAATAGTTTACAGCCTTTCAGCATATTACCACAGATACTACCACAGTTGATCCTCCTAAAAACCTTGCGAGGCAGCAATTCCCAAAGCCAGAAGAGGTCAAGTCCAATCAGCAGTTTCCTCTTGCTCTGGGGCTCTCACTGGGTTCTAGCCTCCACGGCTCACAGCCTTGTTTCTATATTTCTTTATCTCTTTATCTTGTTCTATGGCAAACTTAGTAACTTCCTCGATCTAGCTTCTAGCTCATTAATTCTCTCTTAATCCGTGTCTTAAATGCTATGTACCTCAAATAGTCATTTTTATTTCTAAGAGATTTAGTTGTTCTTCCTCAAATCAGTCATTTTTGTTTTAGTAAAAATATCCATTTTCTGAACAGGAAATAACATGTTGGTGAGAATATGGAGAAACTGGAAGCCTTATGCATGGTTGGTAGGCACGTAAAATGAGCAACTGCTATAAAAAACGATAAAACATTTAAAATAGAATTGCCATATGATCTAGCAATTCCACGTCTCAGAATACACTCAAAGAATTGCTGGCAGGGTCTATAAGAGATACGTGTATCCCTGTGTTCACAGCAGCATTACTCATAATAGCCCAAACCGGAAGCAATCACAGTGTCCAATGACAGAAGAATGGATTAAAAACTGGAATATTACTCAGCCTTAAAAACAAAGGTGATTCTGACACCTGGTATGGCAGGGATGAACCCTGAAGACACTATGCTAAGTGCAATCAGTCCTGTACAAAACGGCCAACACAACATGACTCCACTTAGGTGAGGTCCCTGGAGGAGTCAAATTCGAGATCGGAAGTAGCTGCTGGCTGCCAGGGGCCGGGGGAGGGGAACGGGAGCTAGTGTTTGACAGACACAGGGTGTTGGTGTCGCAGGTAAGAACGGCTCTGAGATGGACAGTGGTGATGGCTGCCCAGCAAAGTGGACGCACCTAATGCCGCTGAACTGTGCATTTAAACATAGGAAAGGGGACACATTTTACATGTATTTTACCACAATGAAAAGTAATTTTTAAATGTGGGGGAAATCAGCAGTTTGGAAGACGGAGACCAGGAAGTAGAGGTTTCCTGTCTGTCTACCACGTGCCCGACTTCTACGTAAGCTCTCTTACTGCCCTTCTCCTGGATTCCCCGGGCAGTGCCACAGAATTGGAAACAAAGTATTCAGTAAAAGGCATCATCATCATCATCATCATCATCATCAAAACCAAAGAAATAGAGAAGAAAGCAAGCTCAGGACCAGGCAGTTGTCTGTCAATTTTCCGTTATACAGAACCCATGACGTGTGTCCTTCGGGCATCTTCCTGGTAATTTCTGGGAAATTACTAGTCCTTGCCCTAGAAATAACTAGTCCTGACTTGAACATGCAGATATTTGGACCAGGAGCTGATTTCTTTCCCTTCATAAACTACAGATTTTAACTAGTATCTCTAAGGACAGTTTTTAACGAATGCCACTTTGTAAGCAGACCAAAGGTGACGAGAGCTCGCCTTATAAAGGCAAATAGCTGGCCTCCCTCCCCTGGACCCACGTGACCCGGTGACCCAGCATCAGAACTCTGCACCTCCTGAGAGGGCCAGGCTTCCAGGTACGCTAAAAAACCACACGTGTGTTTCACGCCATCCAAGAAGCAGTATTCAAGAGTTTAACGTTTAAGTATAATCAGGTTTTACTCTTGGTAGAGGCAAAATCTCTTTCTTGGCAAGAAAAAAGGCTTTCACAAGTGGTACTGATGAGTTTCATCCTGGCGGTGCCAATGGGTTCTGTCCTGGCAGCAGAGGCTGGATGGGGAGCTAAAGTAATCCTTTTAGGACAGATAACTAAGGCTCCACCCCGGCATTCACTCGTGATAAGATTTGCTCTTCGCTAACACCTTAAGAGTGCTTGCTGATGACCTGATCTAAATGGCTAAAAAGTCCAAAAGCTCCTTTTAAATTTAGAAAACTGAGAGGTGGCACTGTCCCATAAAAGGGTGACTCTGTACAGTCTCTGGTCCTTGGTGCCACTTGACTGTTCCCAGCCTGTTGGCATCACCCCCTTTGTGGGGAGGTACAGCCTTACCACACCACCCTCCAGCCCGGAGTCCTCAAAGGCAGCCGGGCACCAGGGCCCCCGGAGAGTCTGGGAACACATGCCCACCCCGGAGTTCGCACGTCCCGGAGACGGCCAAGAGTATGCCCTTCTAACTAGTTCCCAGGTGGGGCCGCTGCTATTGTCCCCACAATGACACTTTCCCATCGTCCCCTTTCTTTTCCATGACTACCACTTTCAAAATGCTGTTTTATGTACCTGGAGTGCCATCTCCCTGGCAATTCTGCCCTCATGGTGTCAACACACTCACAGGGACCAGGGACAGCCCGAGCCTCCTCCCTCTCTCCTAGCTGTGGCTTCTTCCACCCTTACTCCCAGAGAGGGACCAAAGAGAGGGTCAGGAGGCCCAATTAGGAGGGAGCAGGTGGGGAACGTGCCCAGGAGCCCTGGCAGGCTTTTCCGCACCACCGGAGGGTTGTATGGGAGCACAAGCCCAGCCAGCTCTCCTTTTCTTCCTTTACAAAAGCAGCTGCTGCCCTCAGGGACCCCAGAAGGAGAGACAGGATTTGGGGGTCCTGAGTCCCCTTGCCAAACGATCAAAGTAACGGTGTCATAATAGTGGCCTACTCCGACTCCCAGCACCTGTCATCGAGCACCACCAGTCTGGATGAAAACGTTCCCACCTGAACTTCTGAAGGACCTGCCTTTTCGACCTTGCACACAAGCGCTTTTCAATCCGTCTGCTCCACACCTTACCCCTTCTGGACTGTGCACATGCAGTACTCGTGAAATATTTACTGAACTTCACTGAACCGTACTCAGAGGTCAAAGCGTGGACATGTATGCACGTGGGCCATTTCCAAAGCAAGTGCCACAGGAATTATGTATCAACAGCATTTCGAGTAACACTGGTCCCCTGAAAATGTACCTTAGGAAAAAGACGTTCTTACATGGACCAGAAGAGCATTCATAATAATTCTGAAATTTTCCAAACATTCTATCTATTCTTTCCAGGAGCATATTTATAACATAATGCACTTGCCACCCTGAAAACTTTTAACTATAAAGCCAAAATTAACCTTAGGAAGTAACCTTTTCTTGCTGACTTTCTTCCTTAGAAGCATGGCCCCTATTACCAGGGAAATACACAGAGAGTGAATTTTTCTTTAATGAGAACAAAGACGACAACTCACCTCAGAACCAGTTGTAACATCACATCTTCACAGTGCAAACCGATGAGGGTTCTAAATAAGGCCAGGGACACCACACAGAGCTGAAGAGCAATGAACACATTCTATTTCAGACACTGGAAGGACAGCTCTGCTCTCCACAGATGGTAAATAAGTTGGAATTACAAAATAAAATGGCCCTTTTTCTTCAGCAGTTTTGATAAAAATATGCTGCTGCCAGAGTGAATGTGTATCTAGGCCATCAGTTCTCCGGTAGGGTTGGATTAGAAAGACTAAGCCTCGGGGAGGGAATAAAAGGGGAAAAAAGAGAGATACTGCGAAAGGGGGATAAGAGGGGAAAAGGGGAAGGGGTCCTCCAGGAACATGTATAAAGGACCCACGGACAAAGCCAAAGAGGGGTAGGATTGAGGGGGAGGTAGGAGTGGGGCGGTGACAGGGGAAAATGGAGACTGTGCTTGAACAACAATACTTAGAAAGGAAAGAGTAAGCCTGGAATTTCACCATCTTGCAGAATTACCCTCCTGCAAGATGCTTAGTTCATACTTCCAACTTTTTAAGATCCAGACAAAGACACCCCTACAGCTCTCCAATACATACATATGGATGTGTGCACACACATGCACACGAGATGTTTCCTCGTCAACTGTTTTCCTAACTCATCTTCAAACATGACATTAGATATCTAGAAGGCAGGGCTAACGGAAAATTGCAGATACCCCGGCCCACTTTCCCTCCAGGGTGCTCAGCCCCCAGCCTCAGCCCCTCTTGCCCTGTCTCCTGGCTTTGGGGTAAACATTCTCTTTGGTTCCATTTTCAGTCGTGCTCAGGGCGTGATAAGATACTTTTCTAAGAAGTCCATTAAAAAAAAAACAAGACTCCTTTCACTCCCTTCTTTTCAAAAAGGAAAGATAAATAGAAAAGAAACTTAAAGGTGTATTATAAAATCATCATGCCCTTTTGGGAGTAAGCTTTTATCATTTTATCAGGCCACTTAAGTAATTTAGGGGCAGGTGTATCTGCATCTTTGTAAGTTGGACTAGATGTTTGCAGGCATTTTGTAGGAGGGTGATTCTGCATGATGGCTTCATTACAGGCTTAGACTTTCTCATCAGATGCTATAGGAGAACGAATAGCCCAAATGCACATTCCCTGTGTACTCCTACAGCTCAGTGACAAAAAGACACCATGCTAAGTACTCTAGATATTGATTGGAAGGGGTTACCATGGCAATACTGGATGTAACATATTGTATACAGTCGTGTTAACTATAGTCACCATGTTAGAGCCCCAGATTCATCTTATAACTGGCAGCTTATACTCTCTGATCAACACTGCAGCTTTATAAACCATACTAGCTATTTAAGCTTTTGTCTTTAGAGTAAAAAGATAAACTCTTTACAGTAAGTGTGTTGTTGTCTCATAAGCTTACCTTGTAATTTCTAAGGGTTATTCTATGTGTGTTGTCAATTATTCGGTTCAGTTCAGGTTTAGGAGTTTACTAAATTCCTCCTGTAGCAGCGTACAGCTGGCTCTTCCTTTCCTCTCCAGTCTGATCATCTCTACCTTCCGATGAAGTTTTTAACCTATTCACATTTATATTATTTTTATCATTGAATATGCCTGCTGTTTAACTTTTTGTTTTCTATATGCCTCATGATTCTGGTTCTCCTATTCCTCTTTGACTGTCTTGTTTTGCACTGAGTATTTTCCCTAGTACGACATTTTCATTCCTTTAATGACTGTTTCACTACATATTAGTTATTTTATTAGCAGTTTGCTCTAGGCCTTACTACATACATCTTAACTCATCAGACTTCACGTCAGACCTTATACTAAATCAGTTCCAGTGAAGCAGAGATAGCTCCCTCCCTTCTAACCTCCTTTTGTGCTTTATTGTTACACATATTACAGCTGTATGTCACAAGCTCAATAATACATTGTGAAATTATTATTCTTTTACTTTTAAAACAATAACTATTGTTAGATAGAGATAGCCCCTGGCGGGGCGGGGCACTAATAATAAAAAGAGGATTTTCGAAGTTGATCAGAATTTCAAACTAAAGAATGGCTTCCTCGATTCGCAACTGCCCAGACCCCCATGTCAAAGCCCTGGAGGGCAGACCAGAACCTCCGACACCCAGACCAGACCCACTCCTGTCCTGCGTTGCCAGCACTGGGGCCTCCTGGCCCCTGCATCAGGCCTCCTCGGAAGCGCAGTGGGCTGGCTCCACAGAAGAAAGTGCCAGCCCAGGCACGTGGAGGGAAAGGTCCTGTGAAAGGCAGTGAGTGTCTGACAAAGGGGCCCCAAACAAAATGCATTATCTGATTGCAAAACAGAAAAGGCAATGGCTGCAAAAAAATAAGGGAAGGGGCATAGAAAAGAGAATGTTCATGATTTTATCCCAGAAACAAACTACCGAAGTCTTACTCGAAAGGGGGTGTTGATCCGACTGGTGAGAGTGTCCAGGATGTGGACGTTCTCGTGCTGGTGCAGCAGGATAAAGCGGAGGAAGATCTCAAGCAGCGCCGGCTCGGAGATGCTGCGCAGAAAGAGGTCCAAATACGCAGTCGTGGTCATGACTTCCTCCACAGTCACCTGCAGCCAACGACAGAGCAAGCACAGCTGAGCTTCCTCCCGATACTGCAATACATGCCTCCCCCGCAGCCCCCCACCTCACCACCTTGACCCCGTCAGGGCAAGAACACACCCACCGCGAGAACACACTTCAGAGCTGCATCTGAAGCCTGTGGCCGCTTCATATGCCAGATGCCTGATGAGGCTCCCGCCCTTGAATTCAAACGGCAACGGCACAAAGACACAGTTCAAGTGTTCAGGCAACTCCCATCACCAAATGCAGTTCATACACCACAAAGATTCTAAAGTGTGATCATGGACAGCAGGGGGAGGTACTGGAAAGTTTTTACAGGGTCCATAAAGGATGAATTAGACAGCTCAGCATAGCTTGTTTCATTATTAGTCATTCAGTGAGCATTTGTTGAGACCTGCTATGGATAAGGAGCCAGAAACATTAAGAACGTATTTATTTTGTCCAGGAAGATGGGTTATATATACGATCTAGCAAACACAATAATATAATAACGAATGGCAAGTGTGAGATAAAAAAAAGTGATACAGATGTTCAGATATGTTTCTGAAAAGTTGTAAATCATGTTTTATAACCGAATAACATAAAGTATTATTTGTAAAGTGCTATACGAGTGTTATAAAGTAACTGTGACTTTTTTATAACAAAAAATTAGTATTTTCTATGTGATGTGATTTCCCCATGCAGTAAAATGTCAATCTCTCGGAAACAGAACACCCTGAAGACCCATGTTTTTCAAAGAGCTGAGGATTTGACGCTCAAAGCATCAACAAATTAATTTTAACATTGTGGGTGGGGATATGTTAAGAGCTAGCATATATTTGTCTTCCAAAAGGCAGAATGCAACATCTCTTGATGAACAGAGGTCATCCGTTGCCTTGCTGTGTGTGGTATAGAAGTACTCAAAAGTGAGGCCTCGTGGAACTCCCTGGGGAGACAGTTCAAAACTGCACATTCCAGCCTCTACCCCAGCCACGGCTGGGCTCCCCTGGCCCCACACCAGGAGTGTGACATGCTTGGTGGCTCACTCTTAGCATGATTGCAGCTTCTCTCCTTTAGTTCTCCATCTTCTTTATTTCTCCCTTTGAAATGCTAACTGTTACTTTAACATACTGTTACCGGGGTGTCCCTTTTATACACATTTCTCTTCCCCTTGCAATTTTCTACTTTCAAAACCCAGAGCAGTTCAGAAACTAGATCTCCAAGTCTGCTTGTAGAAGTGTAGACAGGCCTGGCGTGGATGCATCTGCACATAAAGGCTTCAACTGCTTCTACAGATTTCTTGGTTCTCAGGTACGTCCTAGACAGATGAGTCCAGGTGGGTAAGTGATTACCAAGCCAGTCTTGTCTGTTTTCTTTGTTCTGGCGAGGCACGCCTCACTCTGCATTTCCCCCCACACTCTCAGGACCCACTGACAACGCTCCCCGCAGGGCCCTGGGTGGTGTGAGCACTGTGTCAGCTTGCACACGCCCGCCCCCACCAGTGCAGCACCAATGCTGGAGGGTCCTCAAATGCTATACATACCGCTCTGTCACCTGACCAATGTCAAAGGGCTCCCTGTGGCCCAAACACAGCAAAGGAAACAGGTGCCAACCTCTTGGCTGAGAAATAGCCCTGAGGAGAGTGCTTCTCAGGGGCTTCCCCAGCTTCTGAAACGAACTGCTCCCCTCCCTGCGTTTTCCAGTGTCCCCCAGTTACACACTCATCGCACTCCCAGTCCTGCTCTGGGACACGCACGGCGTCCTTGTCTTTATTACTGCAGTGCAGCGTACGGGTCTAGCATAGGGGCCGCACTTCATAAACATTTCCTGAATAAACGACATCCCCAAGGACCCGGTGATTCGTACTGGCCAGAGTCAAGCTTAACTTTTAATTCTTCCCTCTTCTCTGCAAGTGTTCTGAAGGCCCCAGAGAGTGGGAACATTCTTAATAAAGACATAAAGTAACTGATGTCACCAAGTAGCTGTGGGGGAAATGACTCACAGCACCTAACAGGTAGTTTCATTAGCCTCTACCTGTTCCACTCCTGTGATCTTAGGGCCCTTCAGCAGAAATTTAATCCAAACTCACTTAGGCGGGAGTCTAATTCCCTAACAGTCTTGATCACTAGAAGTAGCACTAATCACTCCAAATGGGCCACGTGTGTAGTTTCTGCAAGACCGTATTTTCGTCTCACCTACTGAGCACCACTGAGAGGACCTGTCGTGCAGACTTCCAGGAGCTGCCTCAGCACCAACAGTGCAGCAGCAGCTCACCCCACCCATTAAGTTGCATGTGACCTTAATGAGCTCAAAAGCACAGCGATCAACTCTTCGGAATGCAAGTCTCAGTCTTTGAGGGCTGGCATAAAAAGAGGGCATAAGCATTTATTATTTACTACTTTTAGGCTGGATAAATGAAAGATTTTTTTTTAAAGAAATCAAAGCTGTCATTTATAAACTAAGAGGATTTAAGAGAGTACTTGGAGGGGCAGCATTTACATAACATACTATAAATATTAAAGACCCAATTCTATTAAGCATCAAGTTGCACACTCTTTATAAATCGAGGTCAGCTAAGCTAATACTCAACCCCAGGAAAACCTGGTTCCCTCTCTTTCCATCTCTTCCCTCCCCCATATTGTCAGCGTCCTTAGCAGCCCTTTATCCAAGAAAATCTTCTCCTGCCCATTACGTTACTTCTCAGTCTTCTTCTAATCCCCCAGTAGGCAAACTCCTTCACCAGGATGAGCTGGAGCCTAAGTGTGATCACTTGAAAGCCAAGGACAGGCAGACCGAGGAAAGCGGCTCTGCTGTGCAAAGGGCGGACTGAGGCTCCACTGATGCCCCACAGGGCGGGGTGGGGGAGACAGCAGCCAGGTAGGAAAGCAGCTGCCACCTCACGGTCCCATTATAAACACAGTCCGACATCAGTTGTTCATAGAAGATCTTTTGAAAATTTATATAGAAATCCTAGGAGAAATAGTAAATAAGGTTCTACTTTATCACCACATAATACACGATGATAAACGATAACGAAGCTTAGGAATGCTGTTCTTTATTAAAGGGAGAACAGAGTGACTACAATAATCTAAGGAAAACTCACTTCTACAGACAAATAATGATCCCTGACAAGGTAAGTACAACTGTGAATCAAAACAGTGTGTCTGCTTAGGCACTCTTTTTTTTTTAGTTAAGGCAAAATTAGTATATAACATCATGTTAGTTTGAGATCTACGACATAATAATTTGATCTCTGTATCAGTGCAGTGATTACCACCAGAAGTCGTTAGCATCCATCACCACACAATTGACCCCCTTCACCCATCTCGCCCCCTCCTAAGCCCCCTCCCCTTGGACAATCACCAGTCTGCTCTCGGTATCTGTGAGTTTTGTTGCTTTGTTTGCTCCTGTGTCTGGTTTTTAGATTATACATGTCAGTGAAATCCTATGGGTATTGGTCAATCTGTCTGACTTAGTTCACTTGTCATAATACCCTCAAGGTCTATCCACCTTGTTGCAAATGACGGGATTTCTTTCCTTTTCATGGCTAACATTCCAACGTATACATGTGTATATACCACATTTTCTTTATCCATTCATCTATCAATGGACTCTTAGGTTGTTTCCATATCTGGGTTACTGTAAATAATGTTTACACTACCCAAAGCAATCTCTATCAGTATTTCAATGGCGTCCTTCATAGAACCAGACTGTTCTAAAATTTGTAGGGAGCCACAAAGACCCTGAACACCCAAAGCAGTCTTGAGAAAGAAGAGCAAAGTCAAAGGTTTTCACACTCTTGATTTCAAAGTGTACTACAAAGTTATAGTAATCTAACAGTATATTATTGCATAAAAACAGAACAGAACAGAGAGCCCCAAAATAAACCCACACACATATAGTCAATGAATTTATAACAAAGAAGCCAGGAATATATGATGGGGAAAGGACTGTCTCTTCAATAAATGGTGGTGGGAAAACTGGACAGATGCAAGCAAAAGAATGAGATGAGACAACTACTTTACACCGTACACAAAAATTAACTCAAAATGAATTAAAGACTTGAATGTAAGGCCTGAAATCATGAAGTTCCCAGAAGGAAACACAGGCAGCAAGCCCCTTCCCATAGTCTCAGGAGTGAGTTTTTGGATCTGACTCTAAAGGTAAAGACGACAAAAGCAAAATCAAACAAGTGAGACTGCATCAAACTAAAAGCTTCTGCAGAGCAAAGCAAACCATCAACAAAATAAAAAGGTAACCTACCAAGTGGGAGAAATATTTACAAATCATGTATCTGATAAAGGAATAATGTCCAAAACATATGAAGAACTCAAGCCCCGGCTGGTGTGGCTCAGTGGACTAGGCTCCACCCTGTGAACCAAAAGGTCTCTAGTTCAATTCCTGGTCAAGGGCACATGCCTGGGTTGCAGGCCAGGTCCCTGGCTGGGGGCCTGTGAGAGTCCACTGATGTTTCTTTCCCTCTCTCTCTCTCCTTCCTTTCCCCTCTAAATAAATAAATAAAGTCTTAAAAAAGCATTTATTTATTTTTTTTAAAAAAAGAACTCAAACAACTGAACAACAACAACAACAACAAAAAGTTAAAAATAGGCAAAGGGTCTAAATAGACATTTTCCCGAAGAATATGTGCAGATGGCCAACGGGCACATCCAAAGGTGCTCAACATGACTAATTATCAGGGAAAGAAAAATCAAAAAGCCAAAATGAGATATGACCTCACGCCTATGAGAAGGGCTATTATCAGAAAGACAAGAAATCCGTGTTGAAGAGGATGTGAAGAGCAGGGACCCCCCAGGCGCCGTTGGTGGGGATGGAAATCGGCACAGCCACTGTGGAAAACGGCGTGGAGGTTCTTCAGGAAATCAGAAATAGAGCTACCGCATGACCCAGCAACTCCACTTCCGGGCACTTATACAAAGGAAACAAGAGAATACTCGTGTGAGAAGGTGTGGCCACCCCGTGTTCATTGCAGCATTATCTACAGTAGCCT